TGCCACAGCAAACTGGTAGGCAAGCTTTCTGACCTCACTTGGTGACAGACCAAAATAAATGTCAGCTGACCTAGTAATATACTCAACAAGCTGCTTTTCCAAATCAGGGGAAAAAATCTTCCTTGGCGTTGTATAACCAACCATTGTTGTTGGCATGGCTGTCTGACTTTCAATTTCTTCTCTGGTAATCTTTTGACAATACCGAGTTAGAGTACGGTAATTTATGTCAAAATCCTTTGCTGTACTTCTGATTGATTTGTTCTGCATCTTTACCTGCCTGACTGCCTTTAACATAATGTCAGGTGGTGTTCTGCCACGCTCTGTCTTTCGTTGATAATTTCGAACCATCTTACTTTCTTCCTTCCTTCCTTAATTCCTGCCTCTCCTTCCTTTCTTCAAAAACCTTATTACAAATACAAATGAATTACAATATCACAATTTTTTGGAGCATGTATTTGTACTGGGGCAAGTTGTCACATGTGACGACTTGCCCCAAAGTTAATGAGACAACTTGCCCCAAACTGACATTTATGCTAATTTTGGCTAAATGTCAGGGTTAGCTCAACATAGCACATCAGCTGAAGTATCAAAAGACACGTTAATGTCTCCTCTATTTTGTGTAAAATAATAATTTGTAACATCTATACCTAACAAAGTTGTACTGAAGAAAATTTAAAGTGATTTATTTTTCCTTTTAGGTCAAAAAAATAAAAAAGATGTGCTCACCTCAGATTAGAGCAGTCTTGACCACATGTGAACAGGAGGTTGACTATAGAAGAAGAAGTCACACAAAGTGGCTATTTCATTTTTGAGATAGAGCCTCTAGTGTTGGAGTTATGAACAGTGTGACAACTTACCCGTGTGACAACTTACCCCGCTCTCCCCTACTGACTTTAGGTTAATGTCTAGTTGCATCATTTTGTTCTCAAAATGCTCCATCCACCATGGTTCACAGTTGGGATGATATTTTGGTGATGGTGTGCGTCTCCTTTTTTTTTTCTTCTCCATACATGATGTTATACATTTTTGTCTCAGAGTATCAGCCTAGAGGTGTTTGGAAAAAAATGGAAAGCAGTGATTTGACAAACACTAGTTACTTTTGTGACTTTTTCTTATTTAAAACAATTTATTTATTTATTTATTTTGTTATAGGAGTTGGTGATATAGTCTTCTGATCTCATTTACCTAATTGAAACACCCAACTCTAAATAGCTTCTGGAGAAATTGTTTACAGAGTGGTTCATATTCCAGCCTGACCATCTTATGACTCCATATGTTCAAAGACATGACAAGTAAAAGTGTGTTTCTTTAGTTTAGTCTTGTTAATGCTTGTTAACCCTTCAAGCTCTTTTCTGAACAGTTTCCATCATATTACGGGCCTCTTTATACAGTGGGGCAAAAAAGTATTTAGTCAGCCACCGATTGTGCAAGTTCCCCCACCTAAAATGATGACAGAGGTTAGTAATTTGCACCAGAGGTACACTTCAACTGTGAGAGACAGAATGTGAAAAAAAATCCATGAATCCACATGGTAGGATTTGTAAAGAATTTATTCGTAAATTAGGGTGGAAAATAAGTATTTGGTCAATAACAAAAATACAACTCAATACTTTGTAACATAACCTTTGTTGGCAATAACAGAGGTCAAACGTTTACTATAGGTCTTTACCAGGTTTGCACACACAGTAGCTGGTATTTTGGCCCATTCCTCCATGCAGATCTTCTCGAGAGCAGTGATGTTTTGGGGCTGTCGCCGAGCAACACGGACTTTCAACTCCCGCCACAGATTTTCTATGGGGTTGAGGTCTGGAGACTGGCTAGGCCACTCCAGGACTTTCAAATGCTTCTTACGGAGCCACTCCTTTGTTGCCCGGGCGGTGTGTTTTGGATCATTGTCATGTTGGAAGACCCAGCCTCGTTTCATCTTCAAAGTTCTCACTGATGGAAGGAGGTTTTGGCTCAAAATCTCACGATACATGGCCCCATTCATTCTGTCCTTAACACGGATCAGTCGTCCTGTCCCCTTGGCAGAAAAACAGCCCCATAGCATGATGTTTCCACCCCCATGCTTCACAGTAGGTATGGTGTTCTTGGGATGCAACTCAGTATTCTTCCTCCTCCAAACACGACGAGTTGAGTTTATACCAAAAAGTTCTACTTTGGTTTCATCTGACCACATGACATTCTCCCAATCCTCTGCTGTATCATCCATGTGCTCTCTGGCAAACTTCAGACGGGCCTGGACATGCACTGGCTTCAGCAGCGGAACACGTCTGGCACTGCGGGATTTGATTCCCTGCCGTTGTAGTGTGTTACTGATGTTGACCTTTGTTACTTTGGTCCCAGCTCTCTGCAGGTCATTCACCAGGTCCCCCCGTGTGGTTCTGGGATCTTTGCTCACCGTTCTCATGATCATTTTGACCCCACGGGATGAGATCTTGCGTGGAGTCCCAGATCGAGGGAGATTATCAGTGGTCTTGTATGTCTTCCATTTTCTGATGATTGCTCCCACAGTTGATTTTTTCACACCAAGCTGCTTGCCTATTGTAGATTCACTCTTCCCAGTCTGGTGCAGGTCTACAATACTTTTCCTGGTGTCCTTCGAAAGCTCTTTGGTCTTGGCCATGGCGGAGTTTGGAGTCTGACTGTTTGAGGCTGTGGACAGGTGTCTTTTATACAGATGATGAGTTCAAACAGGTGCCATTCATACAGGTAACGAGTGGGGGACAGAAAAGCTTCTTACAGAAGACGTTACAGGTCTGTGAGAGCCAGAGATTTTCCTTGTTTGAGGTGACCAAATACTTATTTTCCACCCTGATTTACAAATAAATTCTTTACAAATCCTACCATGTGGATTCATGGATTTTTTTTTCACATTCTGTCTCTCACAGTTGAAGTGTACCTCTGGTGCAAATTACTGACCTCTGTCATCATTTTAGGTGGGGGAACTTTCACAATCGGTGGCTGACTAAATACTTTTTTGCCCCACTGTAGAACAAAATGAGCAAAAATATTTTTATTGGTCATATACCCAGATTATTGTAAAAAAAATTGTAAAAATGTTACTTACTAATTTATTTGAGCTTACCTTTCTGGGAATGTAAAGTCTAACTAGAGCTATAAGGATAATATAATGAGAGTACTTATACTGGGAGACATTATAGTGCGAATGACTTACTCTTTTCTCTTTCTGCTGTATTTCTCTCTGCATCATAATGATGGAATTTCTTGCATTAGCAACTTGTTTCTTACCACATATAAGGATATCTCTCTCACTCTATCTCTCTCACTCTTTGTCTTTAACACCCCTCCTCTTCTCTGTGTAGTTCTTGGCAGGGCTACAGTCTATTAAACACACAGACAGTGGGTGCTCCCCCGTGGGCTCATTAGTGAGCTGGCCCACACGGCCTGGGGAATGCTGGAACAGACCATTCTACTGGTTCCCGGAGGGGTGCCAGAGGATTCATTATGTCGTTGTTCAACATAGTCTCTTGGTGGTGAATAGTGCAATGTGATGTTCTATATTGGATTAATAGGTCATCTATTTAAGATATTAGTCTTGATTTTGTTTCCATATACTTGTTGTATGTTGTATGTGATGTATGACATGAAATAACCAAGGCTTGCAGCCTGATCACAGATGCTTTCTTCAATGTCACAGGTAAATGTGTCCACGAGACAGCAAACTTTTTAACACCTAAAATTACATTTTGCCATTTTGTGATGAACAGAAGCCAAATGATTTATCCTTTTTTTCAAGAGAGGATTAATACAAAATGTTGTTATTGTATTTTGGGACCAAAGGATATTCTTTGACACAGTCAGAGCACATTATGTAAAAACTTGCTTCAACTTAGGTCTAATGTGAACATCATTTCAAACTGACATGATATGAGTTCAGTTGTTTTTGAGGGAAAAAAATATTTTTTGTATCCAGTATCACTGTTATTGTTTCGACTTTGTCTTAAGTATCGCATTATTTATACTTACTTTATAAACAAAAGTGTTGACTTTGTGAACTGTACAACAGCTTTTAAGTATAAACTGATGTGTTTTTCAGAATTAACATAATACATTTCCAGAGTGAAATAAATGTTTCAGCTGTTCATATGAGCCTTTACCACAAAATATTATTAGCTGTTTTTGTATGAATAGGCTCTATCGTATCCCATATCTAGGGAGATTGCGTGTAAATGATGTAACACAGTGAAACACAATAATAACTTGACAGAGGCAATCACTTCTGTTCTACTTCCTGGCTTTCTCCACAATGACATTCCTGGAAAACTAATTTCCTCAGCGACAGACATTTCATTAGCCCATTGTCTGAACACTGACAACTATTCTCTACTGAAGCAAAGGTGTGTGGGCACATACAGTATACACATCGAATATGCACACAAACACGTTAATACACAAGTTCACTCATACATACGCACAACTTCGGTCTCCGTTTTGTACTGAGATGTCACTGAGAGCTAATCTAATTGTCAGTTTGTGATTTTATTACTTTTTTTGTACATCGTGGCCACATTTTTCAGTAATCGGGTTTTGGGTGTTGAATTTAACAATCAACCAGAAAATGCTGAACCCTTATCATTATAATATACTCTGCTATTAAGATGCACACCAGTATGAAAGCTTAGCTTTACACATGTGTGACCTTCACCAGTTGATTGTGCTGGCACACAAATTGCTTCTAGCACAGGCAGTAGTAAAACAACAACTTTTTCTTTCTGTATTGTCTCTGTTTATGTTTCTAAGTGTTTCTGCTTGGTATTCTTTGTCTTTGCTGAAGGACAACTGTTGAGGTTTTTGTCACTAGCCTGTTATTATAAGTGTAGTTGGTAGTGTAGTCAGTGCCACCTTAATTTGATCATTTTACTATATGCTACATACTTAAATTATACATTACCTCGTCTAGTCCCAGTGCGGTTAGCTGATCTCTATGTCAGAGCTGATATACATGATTTAGAAATACATTTATGTTTGTCTTTCAGGATGACACTACAGTTCATCATATGGCAGCAAAAGCAATAGAGAACATATCAACAGTGCTGTCTGGTCCCTCCCATCACCTGGTCACCACAGAGATAGGCGCCGCCCTGTGGTACCTGTTCACTCACTCCACTGTGGAGGCTGTCAGAGTCACTGCTATTTCTGTAAGCTCACATATATAAAGATATATCATAGATGTACAGCTAACTTTGTAAGAGCTATAAAGATATAGTAAAAAAAAAAGTGATTAATACTAGTTGACTTTGAATAATTCAAGCTGATTTCACAAACTTATTTGCACCAGCTGTATATATTACACAAAGTTAAAGCAGCCAAATGTGCTTGACTGACTGAATTTCTTGTATTGCTGTTATAGTCTGCTAAAAAATAATTAATTCTGATGCGATTCTCCTAGTGAACCACAAGTAATGAATATCAACTACTTTATTATGATGCGTCACAAACCACATACTTTCTGAAACTATACCAACTTTCTCTACCCACTTTATTATGATGGACTGTGTATTAATTCAGGCCATGTTAAGCATTAGATATCCCACATCACCCACTGTCAGGCTTTGAACCATATTAATGTTTTTCTTAATGACACAGTCATTTGTTATTCCATAATATGTATCACTGGACACTTGTTCCTTCACTAATGGCAAGGAATTTCAGTGCTATGTTACAGAGGAGCGTACATTATCTCTCGGTGTGTGTGTGTGTGTGTGTGTGTGTGTGTGTGTGTGTGTGTGTGTGTGTATCTTTTTCTGTTTTTCCAGTCTCTTTCTAGGCTTACCCGGGTGGTCCCAGCAATCTTCCTATCAGTAATTGACACCTGTGGTCCAGCAGCCATCTTGGAGGGCATAGGGGGTGCAGGAGCCCGGGTCCAGCAGCACCTGCTCACTGCTGTGGCCGCTGCCTTGCTCACCTCATGCACTCAAACACACCGTGTAACACAGAACAGGGTATGTGTATCACTTGTGTAACACGTCCGGCTACACGTACAAACCACAGCATTAGGTACACCGGTTAACGGCTTCTTAACACAAATATTTAATTTGATAGCCACATGGCAACACGTCTGTACAGTTAGGCATGTAAACCTATAAAAATATGAACAGCACGGTGAAGGTCCTGGGTTCATCTCCAACATCTGGATGGGGCCTTTCTGTGTGGAATTTTCATTTTTTCCCTGGGTGAATGATTTGCAAATCTCATAAAGTTGTATTTTATTGAGAATAAAACAAAGAAGACTTATTAACTGTTTAATCTGAGAACACACCACACCACAGAACAGTTTGCCTCAGTCCATTTTAAATGAGCTTTGGCTCACAGAAGGTGGTGGATCATGTTCACTGCTTCTTTGCATGACAGAGCTTTAACCTGCACTTGTTGATGACACAGTGAACTGTGGTTCTGGAAGTGTTCCTGAGACCATGCAGTTATTTCCATGAGAGAGAACTGTATTGGGCATGAAGAGCACCATCCAATATTGATTTTCAGCCTTGTCTCTTAGACATAGAGATTTTTTCCAATTCTCAGAAGCCTTTGATGATATTATGTACTGGAGTTGATGAGCTAATCACAATATTTGGAATTGTACAACTTGTGGAACATTTTCAGAATAATTTTCCACAATTTGTAGATCCAGTGTTTTGAGTAGAGTAAAGTAGGAATTTGGCGTAAACAATGTGAAAGAATGTTTTTTGGTGTAATGGTGTAGAGCGTATTTTCTTGGCTCACTATATAAACTCTATATAAATCAGTGCCACAAACAATGAAAGCATTTCTGAATGTAAGAATGTGTCTAACCTATTATTAGCGAGGTGTACCTAATAAAGTATTGGGTGAGTGTATATTTTAATGTATAGCAACAAAAAAAGTGTGTCTCAGAAACCTAGACACAAACAACCATTGTGGTAAAATTGCTAGAGCATTATTTGACAGATGATTTGGTGGTAACATCACTACAAGGAAAGCGTTGATTTTTAGTTCATGTGAGGAATGTCTCTAATTAGAGAGTTTTACACAGTGGCTGAGGGATACAAACACTCCTGGATAACTACACAACAACACCAAGAACAAACGAAACTGGACTTCTCAGATTCCTAACGTCTTCACGCTGTTTTTACCACTCTCTTTCTCTCTTCCACACAGTTCATGAACTGATGCTGAACTGTTCATGAACTAATTTGTCAGGAATTGCTTATTTAATTTTTCATAAGAAAGTCCATCAAGTGTGTATGTGATGTGCTAATCTTGGTAAGGCAGAGGAGCTGAAATTGATTTGAAGGTTTTAACTTGAAGTCTAGCATTGGTAATTGACTCTGAACTGAATTTATTTGCATTGAGTATTTCCAATTTAACACCAGAATACAAACTTAGTACTTCAGCTCTGCTCTAATTATACAATGATATGCATTCACCCTCCAATCCCCTCCCCCCCACACTTTCCCTTGGCACAAGGACAGACAGACCAAGAGTTTGTTTACACAGAACTCTGTTAGTGTGTGTGTGTGTATGTGTACATGCATGTGAGTGAGTGACTGTGTGTGTGTGTGTGTACACTCAAGCAGAAGCGTTAATTTGTTGAGTGTGTCAGTATCTAGGCTAATTGGCTGAATGAACATGCTGTAGCCTTCTACTTCAGCAAAGCATTATGGGTAGTGGGGTGGGACTTATCAGCAAGGCACACACTACTGGGCTTTTGAAATTAATTAACTTAGTGTGTAACTCCATAAACACACATGTATACACATGCTTTCTCATTGCTGAGACACACACACACACACACACACACACACACACACACACACACACACACACACACACACACACACACACACACACACATTCAGTGGTGCTGGTGATTATGATAATGGTAATGAAGGGTGGTCAGTCAAAATGTTTTCCAACCAGTTACTGCTGCTGAGTGAATAGTTGTTGTAGCTGTAGGCATGCGAGTTTGTGTATGTGTGTCTAGTCTGGGCTGATTAATTTTTAGCTTGTTATACGTACATTTTCGGAAAAAAAAATTTTAAGAAATGAACATGTTATTAGTTTGGATATTTTTCTCTTTTCTGTTGATTTCTGTTTCTTGTGATAAGGTGATATTAGGACAGCAAAGTACTTTTTTCTCTTTAAACTTTAAATTTACCAGAGTACTTATTATGTTACCAAATTAACATTTTCAATTTCAATTTGTTCTTAGCAATATTAAAATCTGTAAACTTTTTGACTATATATGATTTTGTCTTAATTACAAAGCTTAGTTTTGTTTTGGTTTGAGGGGGTTTTGGCAGCAGCAGAATAATTAGCAGTTGCACACCACCAAAAACACCTGTCAACTTGAAGTATTGGTTTTACAGTGAGTCTGTTTGTGTGTGGCAGAATGTGGTCCTTTTGACATCTTCTGTAGTAACACAGTACTTTGTCTGCTGTTAATTTGTCTCTGTGTGTGTAGCTTCAGAATGAGCATTAATTGAAGTAAAAAAACCAGACAAAAATTGTTGCGTTCAGCTTTTTTTTGTTTCTTTACATCTTACAGAGCATCTGATCTTTTTTGGAAACCTGGTTGCAATTCATAGAATAGTAGATGTGTCCAGGACCACATTTTCCCATAATCCTACACAAACACACAATACTAGCTATGTTGCCAGAGGATGTAATCTGTTTGAGGAATAATTTTAATTTCCTTGCTTTTAGGATTTGGTTTTGAAAGTGCTGCGTTGTCTAGAGAGTCCGTCTACGATAACAAGAGCCAAAGCATTACTACTGCTTCTTCTGCTCATACAAGACAACAGACACACACTGCTTTACTGCTGTCAAAACAGGTAAATAAACATACAGTACACATCCACATGCCAACAGTGTACACACATACCAACAATATGTACTCGTGTAAAAACAGGTAATCATAATATACATATTGTTTTATCTGACCATGTGAGCAACCACTACAAAGTATGATGTGTGTGGTTGAATCTCATGAGTCAGGTCTTTATAAACAGCTCTATGAGCCACATTGCTAGATGAAACAATTAGAAAGTAATGTGTGTGACCTTCCCAGTAGTAGCTTTGAAAAAGACGTTAACTAGATGCAATCATGGTGCAATTTTGAATAATAATTCAGTTTTGTCAATTAAAGAATGATTGTTTATAATGAATTGTATTGCAACACACTAATAACACATTAATCTTGTTTCGGGTAGTGAGATTGCTTTCTTAACTTACCACATTTCACTGTGCACCCTGCAACTGTCTAACTGTACTGAGATTCAGACCAGTGAAACTCATACTTAACTCCTCTCAGTCTGTCAGACCACTGGCTAATTAGTTCCTCTGGAATGTAGTTGCCAGTGTTCACACATAGGCTGAGCTGTCAGAGAACAAACAAGTAGCATTTGTGAAATCCATTTCAGGGTGGGATTGCCCTTTAATTATTTAGCTGTAGCTTTCAGTATGAGAGTGTGTTCTCATACCGATCCTCACCACAGCTAAAACGAAATTCCCTTTTCAGTATACTTTGTGGGTTGGCAAATACAAGATTGTGTTTTGGTTTTGCAATGTAATAATGTTCACTTGGAAGAAACTATTGTATGTACAACAGTTAGCTTAACACCTATTTAAGTAGATAGACTATGTATTACTCCAGCCAAGTTGGTTCCAATGTTATAACAGCTGGCTGACTGCACAGGAAGCAAAATGGTACATGCCACAGAATTTGTTTCAGTTTTAGAGCATTTCATGTTTTCTAGGCAATAAACTCAATTCAAGGTCCACAAAAAACTTTCTTTTTTTTTTTTTTGCATCTTCAAGAGACTTCAGACCACATAATAAGTTTCAGGCTGACTGACAGATGTGATAGACCCCTCCTAAATATATTGCCTTTCACCAGCAGATCATATCATGAATACATTTACATCATACATTTTCTAAATGCTCGATTTGTGTTTGCCTAAAAAGAAAAGATGGATTCAGTGTGGTGGGCCAGAGGTTTGTTTCACAAAAATGCCTAACCAGTCATTGTTAACTCCCCTGGTGTTGTCTTCATTTTACCTTTCTCCTCCACTCCACCTCTCTCCAGATGTGCTGAAACTGCCAGCGAAATGCAGTATAGACTATCATAAGCACATTAAGTGCACATAAATCAGGCAAGTTTGCTAATATATTCTGTTTTTCCTCCTTTGGTTGCTGTAGAGCAGGGGTGTCAAACTCAAATACACAGTGGGCCAAAATTCAAAACTGGATCAAAGTCGCGGGCTAACGTTAATATTTATTGAAATATATTTAATCCTCCAGATATAAGAATGAATCTTTTCTTATGGACTCAAACACGTTTTGCTGAAAAACTGAATATGGAACAAGCAAAGCTTAATACTAAACAATATATATATTAGCTGTATAATACCAGTAGGCCAGCTCTAATAGTAATTTGGTATGGCTTCGCGGGCCAAATGTAATTGGGCCAGAGTTTGGCACCTATGCTGTAGAGGGAAAAAGTGCATGTAATACTTAACTATTACTCAACTCATTAAACCCATGGAAACTTTAAGTCAACAACTCTTACCATTCATGCATGTATTCATGTATCCGTTCATTCATCTGTGTAAGATTTCCTTTATGTAGCACAGAAACTGTGGGAATTAGATTACAAATGTATTTACCCTGCACCTCAAATTTATGATGCTTTATGCTATTGGAACTGTAAATTGATTATTAACTGATCATCTTGTGTTTATCAACACACTGTGCAATGCTACGAATGTGAATAGCTCATTTAATTACATGCATGGTCATTATATATATGGTTGCTAGAAAAACATTTTGGAAGGATTTAGAATTATTAAGATATCTATACTGAATAATCATGCAGTGTGGTCTGCCCTATAATTTAGTACATTCCAGCGCAATCTGCCTAGACTAAAAACCCACACCCAGTTATACTTAATATCCTCCTCAATTAAGTGTATTGAATAATCTCCATGTAAGCTGGAAAGTACCCTTGGTACTTTAGAAAAAATGTGTGTTTAGTAAAATTAAATGTATTTGTTCATTAGTGAAAGCAACTAATTTCAAATATTTCCTCTAGGTGCTTTTGAGTTTTCCACAACAATTGGTTTGAGATATTTCTGGGTTGTATAGATTGCACAGCCTATTTTAGGTTATGCCACAGCAGGCTATGATGCCCACGTGGCCATTAATGATTAATTTTCTTTTCCCATTAAGGTATGGATTTCCTTTTTATGCTCTGTGGTCTTTTACTTGTTGCTTCACCTAACCCCTCCTAACCAGTACATGATGGACTGCTGCCCTGACCTGCTCCTGTAAGCTTTTTGGTACAATTTTCAGCATATTGTTCCCTCAGTGATTGCAAAGTGCCCAGGCCAATCCACAATGCTGCTCCCATCATGCTTCACAGCTGTAGTTTTTCTCTGCAGTGTTGTTCTTCCTCTGATCTAATAATGAAAAACAGATGAGGCTTGTTTGTCTTATTGTAGACTCAGGAACACTCAGATTTTTAGTAGTGCTTTTGCATCCTCTTTCAGCTTTGTACATCTGTATAGTTCTTCTGAGGTCCTGTAAAAATTGCCCACACCAACCATTTGTTATTGAAAAGAGTAGACTTTGCAAGTTATTCATATGTATGCCTATTTATATGGAGGAGCACCTCTTTGCTTCCTATTTCATCAATTTATTCAAACATCTGAAATCTGTGTTTGTCTGTGGTTTTGATTTGACTGAAGGTCGGACCGTATTTTGTGAGTAATAAATACAGAAAAAATAAGCATATTATTAAATATTTAATGTAGTTTTGTTATTTTACCCTGTTACACAAATAAAGCTGAAAATAGTGTGTTATACTACACTCATATACAGGGAGTGCAGAATTATTAGGCAAGTTGTATTTTTGACGAATAATGTTATTATTGAACAACAACCATGTTCTCAATGAACCCAAAAAACTCATTAATATCAAAGCTGAATGTTTTTGGAAGTAGTTTTTAGTTTGTTTTTAGTTTTAGCTATTTTAGGGGGATATCTGTGTGTGTAGGTGACTATTACTGTGCATAATTATTAGGCAACTTAACAAAAAAACAAATATATACCCATTTCAATTATTTATTTTTACCAGTGAAACCAATATAACATCTCCACATTCACAAATATACATTTCTGACATTCAAAAACAAAACAAAAACAAATCAGCGACCAATATAGCCACCTTTCTTTGCAAGGACACTCAAAAGCCTGCCATCCATGGATTCTGTCAGTGTTTTGATCTGTTCACCATCAACATTGTGTGCAGCAGCAACCACAGCCTCCCAGACACTGTTCAGAGAGGTGTACTGTTTTCCCTCCTTGTAAATCTCACATTTGATGATGGACCACAGGTTCTCAATGGGGTTCAGATCAGGTGAACAAGGTGGTCATGTCATTAGTTTTTCTTCTTTTATACCCTTTCTTGCCAGCCACGCTGTGGAGTACTTGGACGCGTGTGATGGAGCATTGTCCTGCATGAAAATCATGTTTTTCTTGAAGGATGCAGACTTCTTCCTGTACCACTGCTTGAAGAAGGTGTCTTCCAGAAACTGGCAGTAGGACTGGGAGTTGAGCTTGACTCCATCCTCAACCCAAAAAGGCCCCACAAGCTCATCTTTGATGATACCAGCCCAAACCAGTACTCCACCTCCACCTTGCTGGCGTCTGAGTCGGACTGGAGCTCTCTGCCCTTTACCAATCCAGCCACAGGCCTAATCCATCTGGCCCATCAAGACTCACTCTCATTTCATCAGTCCATAAAACCTTAGAAAAATCAGTCTTGAGATATTTCTTGGCCCAGTCTTGACGTTTCAGCTTGTGTGTCTTGTTCGGTGGTGGTCGTCTTTCAGCCTTTCTTACCTTGGCCATGTCTCTGAGTATTGCACACCTTGTGCTTTTGGGCACTCCAGTGATGTTGCAGCTCTGAAATATGGCCAAACTGGTGGCAAGTGGCATCTTGGCAGCTGCACGCTTGACTTTTCTCAGTTCATGGGCAGTTATTTTGCGCCTTGGTTTTTCCACACGCTTCTTGCGACCCTGTTGACTATTTTGAATGAAACGCTTGATTGTTCGATGATCACGCTTCAGAAGCTTTGCAATTTCGAGACTGCTGCATCCCTCTGCAAGATATCTCACTATTTTTGACTTTTCTGAGCCTGTCAAGTCCTTCTTTTGACCCATTTTGCCAAAGGAAAGGAAGTTGCCTAATAATTATGCACACCTGATATAGGGTGTTGATGTCATTAGACCACACCCCTTCTCATTACAGAGATGCACATCACCTAATATGCTTAATTGGTAGTAGGCTTTCGAGCCTATACAGCTTGGAGTAAGACAACATGCATGAAGAGGATGATGTGGACAAAATACTCATTTGCCTAATAATTCTGCACTCCCTGTATACATCAATGATTTGGTTTTTGATCCAAACTTTGGCTATAATTGACATAGTTTGTGCAAGAAAAGACGAGAGGAATAAAAGTTTTGGAATTGGATCTGGTATAGTGTGAAGAAATCCTGGAAAGCAAAACATAAAATTTCCCTCAGGGTGGAAAATAAAGCAGCATTTCCTTCTAAAATGCTGCTTTAAATATGTTGTTTTCAATTTTTAAATTGGCAGTGGTATGAATCTCTTTCAATGCATTTTTTATTTGCTTTTAGGCCCAAATGTTCCAGCACATTGGATTCTGCTATATTAATTGCCTTAACACAGTAGCAACTGAAGTATAAACATCTATATACTTGAGGATATAGTCGGTGTTCTCTGGAAATAATCAGTAACAGAAAGTGTAAATGAAGAACCATGATTACTTAGGATCGTTTCTGTTTGACCATTCACTCTGACATAAACACAGGGCCAGAACATCAATTGCAACCCTGAACACAGCTTACAATGACTGTTAAGGAAGTTAATGTGATTTTTTTTACCTCTTGCTTTCTCTTCATGTTTTCCCTCTGCCTGTTTCTTTTCTCTCCCTTCCAGTGTCCCCACACACACATACGCATTTACATTCTTTATTTCTTTCCTCGCACTTGCTCTCCCTCTCTTAGCTGAGTTAGAGCTGTCAGAGTTGACCTGTCTGTCTCTCTCCCACTGAGCACTCTGCATGATTCAACCGTATACAGAGACACACATCTTTTCCCCAGTCCTATTCTTTCCCAGGCACGTTGTGTTTAATTAGCTTCTCAGTAGCATGAAAATTGCTTCTGTTTTTGTTTTGTTTTTTTGGTCTCTGAGATAAAATTGCATGGGTCTTATTGAGAAAGTGTCAAGATTGTCATTGAGAGTGGAAAGTGATGGCTTTCAGCAGTGGAGAGGCATATGTACACAAAGCTGGGTCAGTGGTGTGTGTGTGTGCTTTGTGAGTCTCCCACAGCGACTAACAGTGAGGCGGCAGGTTTGTGTCTCTTTATGAAGCAATCTGGAAAATGGCTGCAAGAAAAGGTTGCAAGTTGGTTGATCCACTACTTTGATCCAGCTGAAATACCTCAAAAACTACTTTACAGTAGGTCCAAATCCTCTCATGGGATGCAAGATGAAAATATGCTTAGGCTGTGTTCCTGATTTTATTTTAGTTTCTAAGTCACAAACCTTCATGATTGCATCAGTTATAGCCCCTGAGCCCCTTCTTGTTTGCAGTGGTGATGGACAGGTTGTCAGATGAGATCAGGCAGGAGTCTCCATGGACTATGATGTCTACAGATGGCATTGTAATCTGTAGTGAGAGTAGGGAGCAGCTGGAAGAGAGCCTGGAGAGGTGGAGGTATGGTCTGGAGAAAAAAGAAATGAAAGTCAGTAGAAACAAAACAGAATATGTGTGTGTGAATGAGACTGAGACAGATGGAAAGGTAAAATTGCAAGAAATGGAGATGGCAAAGGTAGACGATTTTAAATACCTGTGTTCAACCACCCAAAGGACAATGCGCAAGAGAGGTGAAGAAGAGAGTGCAGGGAGGGTGTAGTGGGTGGAGACGATTGTCAGTGGGCATTTGTGAAAGACAGAGACCAGCAAGAGTGAAAGGGAAGGTTTACAAGTTGGTAGTGAGACCTGCTATCATGTATGGTTTGGAGATAGTGATACTGGTAAAAAGACAGGAGGCAGAGTTGAAGATGCTAACAATTTTATTGGGAGTGACCACAATGGACAAAGTCAAAAATTAGTTTATCAGAGGGACAGCTCAGGTGGAGCACTTTGGAGAAAAAGAGAGTCGAGGATGACATGAGGAAGGATCTTAGAGCGAAACCGATGGGTGTAGTAAAGGAGGATGTGCAGATGGTTGGTGCGACAGTGGAAGATGGTAGGAATAGGGTGAGATGGAGGCAGATGGATACACCCTGATGACCCCAAAAGAGTGCAGCCAATAGAAGAAATCGGCAAAGACCTTCATGGAACAGAATTTTTTTTTTTCCAAAGATTTATTTATTGCTTTTCCAAAAGTATTTTAAACAAGGAAGACAGAGAAAAATAAAATGAAATGAAATAAAGGAGAAAATGAATAAAAATTGAGTGTGTAATAATAATAATGCATGCTCATCATGTATAGACGGTGTGCGTAAACACACAGATACAGATATATGCACTCACCCATGGAGATATACCCATATATTGTTTAAAAAAACACCACACAAAAACAAGGGAACAGACAGTGCTCAAAGACCAGGTACAACACAGTGAGACATTAGGTTTAAGTTCGTTACTTCAGGGTTTTTGGCGGGAGTTTAGTCCAAGGATTTCAAGTTAGTTAGAAAGGCATCCGACAAAACGGCTGCAGCAATGAGCTGTGTCCTCTTCCGTTTCAGTCCATCTAATTTCACATCTCCATCTCCTGCCCTTCCATTGAACAGTCCAGCATAAGCTCCCCAGGTTCTCTTCAAAAATCACAGCAACACGTCTCCCGTACAAGTTAAATGGGTACAGCCATATCTGTTCACTGTCGGCCATCTCCTCACATTCCAAAAACGACCAAAAATTTCCCCACATCTTTTTAAAGGAAGCATGTTTACCCTTAATCACAGATGTAAGTTTTTCCAAACAAGGGATTTGGACAATGTCAAAAGCCAAGTTCTCAAGTGTGGTCTAGTAATGGATCTCCATGATTTGGCTATGCTATATTTTGCCTGTAACAGAAGTAGATTGTAGTTTTTTGGTGAACTTTGCTCAGCTGGCTTTCAGTGGGGAAAATCCCTAGGATACATAATTTAGGACACGGATTCAGCTTAACACTTGTGATACGCGCAATGACATCTGAAACTTCTTTCCAAAACTTTTGAATTTCTGAACATTCCCATAGGCAATGCATCAGTGTGCCTTTATCCCCACATTTAACACATATGTCTGGAGTTTTAGGGTCAAATTTGTTTAACAATGTTGGGGTGACATATGTTCTCATTAGCCATTTATACTGGATTCGTTTAAATTGGGTGTTTATAGATTGTGTTTGGGCTTTCAAGCAGGCTTTCTGCCATTCCTCTATGGTATACTACATTTTAAGCCTTGACACCATGCAAGTCTGTGTTTTTTTTCTGAGAACGTTTGAGAGCCGTCTCTGAGGTTGCTATAAAAGCAGGATATTAAGCCCTTCTTCAGCTGATGGTTTATTGCTATGTCCTCTAATGAGGTAAGAGTGGGCAGTGTTAGGGATTTTTGAGTGTTTGAAATAAAGCTTCTGATTTGAAGAAATGTTTAGTTGGAATGCCAAATTTCCGTGTCAAGTCATTAAAGCACATTAGGGTGTCCTTGTCAAATAGGTCTGCAACTTTGCACAAGCCTCTGGCAGCCCACATTTTAAAACCCAAATCTTTCTAACTGGGTTCAAAGGTCTTATTACCCCAGATAGGCGAGAACTGGGTAGTGCTGGTGTCTCATTTTTAAACTTAAGTGCATCGAACCAGACACGAATGGTATTTTTAACAAACGGATTCAATGTATCTTTCATCAAATCTTTATATTTTGCTGAGTACAGGCAAGAACTGAGCGGTAAGGGGGTGCTTGTCCTTTCTAAATTTACCCAGGATGAGGTTGTCGTTAAAATCCAGCAAAAAGCTGTAGAGAGTTGGGCAGCCCAGTAGTACCATTTGAGGTTTGGAATACCCAGACCTCCCCTATCATACGGAAGATACATTAACAATAGGCGTAGTTCGGCTTGTCTGTTATTCCAAATGAATGGAGTGAATATTGTTCTTGCCTTAGTGAAGAAGTCATCTGGAGGGCTGAGAGGAATGGCTTGGAAGAGAAAGAAATTTTGAGAGTGTTTTCATCTTAAGAATGTTTATGCGTCCAATCAGAGAGATTCATTTTGGTTTATTTCTTCTTTACTGTGCATCACCAGTCCTAGTTCTCCATTATAATTGTTAAATGTGAGACTTAAAAATGCTATTAACACTTTGTTGTTATTAATGGTTTGGTTTTGCACAACAAGAATAACCCTGCGCAGATGAAATAATATATAATTTTTTTAATGACATTACATCATGACAATGACATTGACAGTAAGAAAAATTCAGTTAAAACAAAATTAGAATAATGATATAAAAATAGGATTGCATTAACATGTCTGCTTCTTTCAGAGATTTAACTTTGGTCGTACCAACCAGGCTAAAATTTATATAAAATTTATAAATAATTAAACTTAATAAGTAATCTGAAGGTCTTTCTCAGTTGCCAGGCTCAAGGTTGCAATGCTTTGCACTAAACAAAAATAATGTAACAATAAATGAAGTAATTAATCTCAAGAAATGCACTGGACAACAGGTTAACAGTTAACTATTTCTTGTTCTATATAGTTGTAAACCATGGATAATCATCTTTTATGGAACAACGTGAGAAAAAAATGCAGAATTTTTAATCCACCGGTCCCCTGCATCATTGCCACTCTAAAGCTTCGAACCCCTCTGAATTTCTCCATTTATTTTCTGCTTATTTTCTGTGTGCGTGTGTGTGCGTGCGTGAGATGATATACGTAAGCATGTGTTTATGTGCTGGAATATGAGTTAGTGGTGGTAACCTTCTCTCCCTGCTCAGAATTTGTAAAGAGAAAATTATTGATTACTGTTCAGTACACACACTCTGATGAGAATAAATATGCTCTTAAATTGTGTGTGTCATGGACTTCTTGCCCCCTTATTTTGTACCCTATCAAAGTTTTACTGCTGTGCATTAAAATTTGTGTGCATTCATGTTCTTGTTAATGGGTCTGTCTCACTTAATCATGCTGCTAAACAACTAATAATGTATGGAGCAGACGAAAGACCGGTAACCATTAAACACACTTGATGTATCTGCAATGTTACATAGAGGGCTGAAAATATTTCTTTCTGTCTAGACTTGTGATATACCTGGAGAGAGACCTCCGCAAAGCCACTCCTCTCAGAGAGAACCCCAGCCAATCAGGATACTTGTCTCAGTGTCTCAATTTACTGACTGCATATCTGAGCAGCACCGCACCAGTGATTATGGGTACACACACAAATACACACACTACTGTATGATTATCCATCTGCCATTTGTGTTTTCACCTCCATGTGTACAGAAATTTGTAAATCAGTTCATTTGACATGCTGATTTTTTTGATTTCCCTTACCATTACTACATCTGAGATCTTTTTTAAATCTGACATCTACAAAATTAATTGTCAGGTTACTATGGAAACTTGATTTGTTTCTGGTTCTTGTGCTAGAAGAAAAAATGTGATACTTAGGAAAAATAGACGCATATATTTGTAGGGTTTAAGACGCCAGAGAAATTTACCAGTATATAATATAATATAGTATATGATATATAATATATCTTAATAAAGATAGATGATAGCCACCTTCTTAAATTCCTTCTCATCTGTTTGCGACTCCTTGCCTTGTCTCCTTTCTTTAGAGGATGTTCTGTGTACCCTCAGAGGAGTGATTGGGAGAAGACACCCAACTACTGCTCAAAGTAAACAACTCAAACAAACTTTGCCTACTTTGTCCATAGTGCTGGACCTTGTTTCATCCCAGGTAAATGGAGCAAAATTACTTCTCCACAGTGTTTGGTTTTAAAACCTTTAGCAGTTTCTCACATAGATTTTCTCATAAATGACAAACAGCAGTTCTTATTTTTGAACACAGAGTTTTCATTTATTTAGTACATGGCACTAAAAGAAAAGTCAGGAGGCTTTCCAAAATAGTCAATAATAAAAACGAGGCAGACCTAAATCATCACCTCCCTCCCTGCTTGTTTTGTAACACTCTCAGTTGTCACCTGATCACATTATCTTGACTTACCTTTGTAAAATGTGTCTTCTGTCTCCTCACAGGTCTTTAGATCTCACATTGTAGCAGGACAGTTTCTGGCTCAAATTGGGTTGCTGTTGGTAAGTGTTTGGTAACCAGTCATAAATTGACACATTATCTGTCTCCACATGCTAAAGGCAAATAATAAAACTAACAGATAGGGTGAAGTGAAGTTTTTAATTGATCACATTTTGTTACTCTAACAAGGAGACATGTTGATTATATATATTTTTTCAATTATAGAATAAATAAAATTAACCTAAATTATTTTAAAGCCAGCAGTGTAGTTACAGTTTTACAAATTGCAGAGACTGGTGGTGCCTTTCTCTCTTACTGTCAGTACTGAAATTCTTAAAACATCTCTGACATTCACACAACTAACTTTTTATAAGGAAAACTTTGAATGTTTGACAGTTTCAAAGCAAAACTCACATCAAGTTTTTAAATATCTCTTGACAGAACTTCATTGCCTCAGTAGAGTCCAATGAAACAAATCTGGCTAGTGCTATGGGTGAGTATCTTTACAGGTATGAATACTTTATCACTGGATATCAACCCCTGCCATATCTGCAGTAGTATTCCTTTTCACATGATTAGTCTGTGATACTGTGATTCTACAGAGCTTCATGTACTGCATTGTTTGTTAAAGTTGCACAGTGTGTTTGCTTAACTTGCCAGGTTAAATGAAGGATAAAAGAATAAATAACGTAGTTAAAATGATTATTATAAATTCGAGCTTATCTTACAAGTCAATATTGAATTGTATTGACATGGAGACGGTAAGGAGAGAGTCAGATACAGCACTTGAAGACAGCTATGACACTGAATTACAAATGCCTGCCAACAAGGCAAGCTGCGGTGTGGGCTCAGCCACTCTTCAAGCACCTGAATCAAGTGCTGTGATAAAGTGCCGCGCTCGAAGGCCATGTTATCAGCAAATCACAAACAGAATATATGCCTATCCTTAAAAGGTATTCAGTTATGGGTCAGTTTTTATTGAGAACATGAGTATTTGTATTATTATGTTTGATTCTTCTTTAGGTACAGCAATATGTGAAGATTTAATCAGAACATCTCTGTCCATCGTGGAAGTACTGAGCCAGCACCATGCACTCATCAGTCCATATCATAGTGATGTAAGTATCTGTGGAAGAAAATATGCAACTCTATATCCCATTAAATGAATGGTTGAGTGTGCATTTGTTGTAGGTTTTTGACTGGCTACCTGTCTGACTGACTAGCTGTCTGCTGATAGTTTAGTACACCGATATAGGACAGGTATCTTGTGATATTCAACAAATGTCAGTACATTTCCTCTGACGGGACGTTGGAGACAACCTGTCATCATCCTGTTATTCTGTATTTCTGCAACTGTCAGATTTTCAGCATTGATTTTCCCCTTCTCTCATTTAGAAAAAAACGTAATATGCAAGTTGCTTTGCTAGGATAGAATGAATTTCTGTAGACTTTGTCAATAATATGAATTGGACTGTGGTATGTTTACTGTGTGTCTTCCAGTCTACTAAACCTGTCTATTAGTGATCATAGGACAGAGGGTTAGCATGTGGACTATTAGGAGAGACACTAATCAACTATTGAACCGACAGACCTCGTGTGTGTGTGTGTGTGTGCGCGTGTGCGCGTGAAAGAGAGAGAGATGTTGATGGGATGGGACAATGAGATTGTGTTTAATGACTATTGACGTATGGAAGTGGAAAACAGCAGCAGGAAGCTGACAGGATGGAGAGAGAGAAAAAAAGAAAAGACTTGAGGAACTGGGGATAGGAGCAAAAAGCAAGGCTGTGGATACTGATAGTCAATAACACAGGAAGACACTTTAATTACCCACAGCCAACTCAGATTAGCTTTAATTGTCCTCTGGACAAGGACACACGCTCATTTTTGACTTTGTTTGCGTTTCTAATTTCTTGTCACAGTTTGAAGCTAGTTTGCAGTTAGTTTTGCCTCCACAACTGCTCTTTTGTTAAAACAGATTTTATGTGATGTGGAAAATGACATTTTAAATTGCTGTGCAGACCTTTAAAAAAACTCTCATACCATAACTGAATACTGTTTGAAAATACTTGGGAATGATGTTTTGCCTTGAATGTGCATTTGAAAGATCACTTCATTACTTTTTTTGTTAGACTGTTTAAAAATTAATAGAAAAATAGTTTTCACTAAAAGACTGCAACATAATTTTAAAATACATTTTAAATAGCTACACAACACACAGCTGTACAGTACACAGCAGTTAGTAACAATCAGGTACGATTGTTGTTGAAACCAGCTGTTGTTTTATAACAAGGTAAGTTCTTAAAAAAGTTAACTGAACACTTATTTTTCTTTAGTCATGTTCAAATGCAAATTAGACACTTTAATTACTTTGGATATTTATATTATACAACAAATTATTCTTTAGTTACTGTTGGAGTGATGAGATTTCTTTTCTGCACCACTAAAAAAGCAGCTAGGAGAAAGACAGGAAAACGGACAAATGTGAACAAGAAAGGCTTTCATAAATACGAGGAACGCACTGCCCATAGTTACAGAGTTCAGAGAGAATGCACCCAGATCTGCACATCTCAACACACACACACACACACACACACACACACACACACACACACACACACGGCTCCATGCAGTCTTTTGATGGTTGTGATAGTAATACACCAACCATTAAGTGGTGGACAACATCCTTTGTAGTTTTTTTTTTTTTCTGGCTTTCAATGTAATGACCTCACACATCCTCACTCAGCATTAGTGGTGTTTCTATGGTAATATTAGTAATCATGCAAATTCATGCAATACAGATTCATACCTAAATAAGAGCTTTGACAGTTGTGAAAATACGCGTGCGTGTCTGTGTGTTTGTTTGTTTGATCAAAGAAACCATTCAGCAGTGCATTTCCATAGTAATTTGATCCTCTGTGACAGTGGTCTGTGGTCGATGCTCACAGAATTAATATAGTACAGCGTCTCCTGTTCATTTTTATCTAAAAATATAGACTCTGCTTTTAGAGATGTTATACAGAATATTAACTCTATAGCTGTTTAGAGAACACCATGATTATGTTTATAAATACCCTCATTTGCCTCAAATTAGAATATATGGGACATTACTGAACTAATATTTACACCTTGTTCTTAAAAGCCGTCAGCAGAGGAGTGGATTTTTATTTCACTTCAGTGTTTTAACCTGAGTTGTTTCACATCCACGACATCATTTGTAGCTGAACTTGTGAAACACTAGATTATAACAGATTTTTCTAGCTTGTTACAGGTTTAATTCTAAAACCAACTTGCTTCTTTGGTGACCAGGATCAAATACAGTACCATATAACATTTTTTGTTTGTTTGTTAATGTCTCTTGAAGGTCGTGGATGCCATCCTGCCTCCTCTGACAACAATGGCTTTCAGCAAAAATGGTATGAATGGTGGGGTCAGTTTTTTGAGGAAAGAGAGTGAGTGAGAGAGAAAGAAATGGCAAATGGGGAAAGAGGCAGAGCGGGTTCAGAAGCCTGATGGCTGGGGACCTTTAGTTCCTGTCACAGGCAGTGATTTTCTTCTTGTTTCCTGTTTGTTAGGGTTCTAATAATTCTCCAAAGAGACGAGATCACGAAGAAAAAGTTCACTACTTACCTAAACGATCTGTAAATATTACAGCATTTAACAGACTAGCATACTGCCAGCTCCCTTGCGATACAAGTAGATAAAACTGCAATACAGCATTGCTTATGTTTGTACCACAACTGAGCGAAATGCCAAAAAGTAATCTTTAAAAAAAAATATATAGGTATCCGCATTTATTAATTACCATATCACCAATACAATAATAACAGCTTCTTTTGGGTTTTGGAACCTGAATGAGTCATTACAGTTTTGACTTTATGGGTCAGTATGCAAAAGAGCCAGCTGTCAGGGTAAAAGGTTTTTTGTTAGCCATTATAATGGTGCTACTTGTTGTCTTGTTGAAGCTCAAAATATTTCGTTTCCATGTGGGTATTTTGTTGTTTTTCCAAGCTTGTTGGTATTCTTACAGTATATATAGTACATATGTGTGCTGTCTAATGTTTCTTATACGGTAGTGTCGTGTGAAAAACAACAACTGACTCAAAGGCTTGTAGAACCACCTTTAGCAGCACTAACTTGCAGCAATCGTTTTCTGTATGACTTTTCCATTCTCTGCCATTCTTATGGAGGAATAAGGTTGAGGTCTGGACTTTGACTGAGCCACTTCAACACTTAGATGTTTTCTTTTTCAGACACTGTTGTATATTTGCTGCTGTGCTTGAGATCGTTGTCCTGTTGCATGACCTAGTTTCAGCCAAACTTCATCTGTCAGACACACGGCCTTCCATTTGACTTAATAACTTGGTATGATAAAATACTTTAGTATAAGGAGGAGTTTGTGGTTGACCCAATGATTGCAGGGTACCAAAGTCCTATTGCTGCAAAACTGAGGCCTGTAGAGTCAGAGATTTAGGTCTTAGATTTTTCCTTAGACTATGTTCATTCTTTAATCCTTAATCTAAAGTTTTGCGACATCCTAAAGTTTCAAATGCCATTCAGCAAATTCATTCAGAATTGTTTATGCATATTATTATCACCTCAGAACCCATTGTCCCCTTTCATTTATGGAAGTAAATCACGTGACATATACTTGTCCAACTAACACTAACTACCCCGACCCCCAAGACACACTAATCTAATCTAATTGACATAATACTTTCCCTAGCTGCTTACCCTAACCATCAAAAATGAACCATTAGCCTACACCTAACCATAACATAATTGTAACCCTGACACTAAAACCACATTTTGAGTTTCAAAAATGCCTTCAAACTTGTGGAGACTTGGATTTTGTCCCAATAAGGGCTGTTGGTCTCCACAAGTATAGTAAACTTGCAATTTTTGGTCCCCACAAAGATATGTAAACATGGTACACACAGTATTCTAAACACTTACTCCTAATAATACTCTCTCTTCCTGTCTTTGTGTGTGGTGCAGTGGAGTGGTCTGTGTTTGTTTTGAGGGTGTTGTCTGAACTCAGTCTAATCCTGCTGGTCCAAGATGGTGTTGATACTGAGGTAAAAGAGGAAAGGACAGAGGAAAATAAAGAGAGAAATGAGAAGGAAGGACAGGCGGCAGAGGAAAGAGGGGATGGACTCTCGTGTATCACTGAATCTCTCCTTTCAAGGTTGGTCTGGTTTATTCTAAGTGCAGCTTCAGTGTTTCTAGATTCCTCCTGTATTTGCTGTCTCTATAGGAACAGATACTTTCCCCTTGAATGACATTTTTAAAATCACTACGGCTTAACCAAAATAATGACAGACTGTCAGTTTAAATGATAGATATAATAATATGTAATATACAATACTGAAGTAATTTCTACCCACTCTTTTGTGCTAAGGTGTTTATGTTCACATTAAAGCAAAATTTCTCTTGACTATTTTACAACCAAGACAATAAGTCTGACCTAATCCTTACCCGACACAGGTAATTTACATAAACATAATATTATAACCAAAAGAGCTTCATTAGTGATTGTGCCAGGTTAAAGACAGCTCAGTTGCAACAGATGATTTCAGAGTTGATCTTTAAAAAGTCTGAGACTGAAGTATAGAAGTCTAACAATGAACAATTGTTGTAATAGGGTTTTTTTGAAGATGTATATCAGATATAAATGATATGGTGTGGATTTGTTGATCCACTTTATAATATGTTGTAGTTTGTAAAATGCTTCTACAAATACAGAAAACTGGCAAGTGACTGTTCAATCTATGAAAAGGGGACAATGCATTTTACACAAGTCAAAGAATAGCTACACAGTACAAAAAAAGATGCTTGTATGATAGCCTCACAGGTTACCGCTTGTTCACTTTTATTTCTACCAATATTTCTCCTCCTCAAAGTCAGTCCTTTCTTCCTCCTAGTTTCTCCCCTAGCTGCTTCTGTCTACGTTCTTTTCTCTGCTTCTCCTATTATAAGTCTAGTTCTCCCCTCCCCCTCTTCTTCACCCCTCTCTCCAGATCTGTTCTAGTTTACTCTCTCTTACTAATGATCAGAACACTGCATTAATTATTAACACTTCGAAAGCCAAATGTTGTACTCAGACATGTTTATGTCTAGGTACGAGACTCTTCTACGAGCACCGGAGCCTATACCCCTCCATGCACTCAAACTGTTGGTATCAATGACTGAACACAACAGTCAAACCTGCAGGTAATGTGAACACATCAGCCACACACACAATTAATCACAGACAAGAAAGACTGTTGAAGCATTGTGACCTTGCTAATATGAACTTTACTTGTAATCTTTATTAGGATAATGTTGTTTACTGGTAATATAGTAAAGAAAGTATTACAAAATACTCCTAGCATCCATTTAAATCCATTATCTGCTTCTCTATTTTTTTTCCAAGACGCAGAATAGGTAGCACGCAAGTATTTTGCAGTCCTAGCAGGTTCAGATACAAATATACACGGGCGCATTTTAGGCACTCTGTAATGTTTTAATGCCAAGGCTATTCATTCCCAATTCCGCACTGTGAATCATTCACACACTGCACACAGACACACACACACAGACACACACAGATGAATGTTCACTGTCTTAAACACACACAAACACACTCCTCCGTATTATAAGCAGTAATTTATTTGCCAACTCCAGAACACAGATATACACAAATGATTATTTGCTTGTTGTAGGTGATGCACATTCAGAGCTAATAGCAACAAAACCTTCACAGCTCCAGCACTGCTGGTGATCTGCATTCAATGACACCCTTTGAGCACCCTTAAAAGCGGTATTTTCTACATTAGTAATCAGTTTAGTGGCAGGCATAAGGTGCTGTATCAGCTGAGATGTGTAAAGACTTGACATGTTGTGCTGATATACCTTGGCACACTAGCTAGTCCAGAGAAGCTTTGCTTAAAAATGCAACACACGTTCTTTAAATATACGACACTAAGACAAAATTATTGCTCGCGTTGAAGTGAGATTCACTACTGCATAATGTGGAAGTAATTCACTATGCAGGAATTTAAAAAACATCGCTCAGAAAAGCAGTCATCTGACACCCAAATAAAAAGTGGTAATGATGTGTTGCTGTTGCACAGGAAATTTGCTGATTCCTTGTCTAGCCATGAGATGACTCACTTGTGTGTGCATGTTGTGTGTGTGTGCATGCGTGCGTGCATGAATGCTTGCGTAAACACATGTGTGTGCATGATGATGTATGTGTGTTTGATAGATGTGCTTTGACAGCAGCTGTCAGTAAGTCTTGATTCTCTGGTCATCTGTCTTCTCGTCTCAGCTGTTGGCAGGGATAGAAAGTGTGGGTGAAAAGAGAGGAGGCAGAAAGATTGAGGAGGGGAAGTGGATAAAGGTGCCAGGAAAAGGATAGGAGGAGGAACTAGGAAAGAGAATCTTGGGAGAAAAGAAAATGTTGATGAGGCCAGAAGGGTTGAGAATAAAGGAGAAGTGTTAATTGGTTAGAAAGTATAATTAGATGTGTGTCACCTGGCTCAGAAGATAACTGGAGGAAAGAGCAGGGGAAAACTGTAAAACTATGTGCAGTTTACACTATGAGATATACATTTCAGCTCAGGAACACTATGTTGTAAACTGTAGTTGTTACTTCAACAATACTCTCAGCATTTTTAGATTTAGTTGACTCTGTGTAAGGCATGCTCTATTTTAGCTCTAGAAATGCAGTCATTCATATTGGTGGAACACAATTTGGACATGGACATGTACCTGGTCAAATGCTGCAGTTGATCCAGAGATTTACATTTAATCCTTCATCTTTAATCACTAAGTATTAATTTGGAACAATGATTAAGCCTCTGTTTTGTGGTTTCCTCATTTCCATCCCAGCTTCTTTCCACATTTTATCTTCTCCAGCAATAATAGTTCAACAAATCTCTAATCACTGCCAGTCACCTTCCATCTCTATCCATCCCATCCTCCTCTACTCCTAGAGTTTAAAGTTCGTCCTCACAGCTGAGTATGCCCCTACTTCTCTTATCAGTAATATTACCCCATTTCGTCTCCATCCTTCTCTTCCACCACCTCTCCTCATCCCCCTTTTTCTTAGACACAAGTAGAGTGACGTGAACTTTTCAAATTGGTGTCAGGACTCTTTCCTCTACATCTGTTTTCGCGCTCACTCTTTTCCTTTGACATTATTAACAACATTTTACATTTTTTTTCTCTGCCTCCCTCGCTCTCATTCTCTCACCATCTCTAATTTATTAACATTAGTCCACATTTTTCTTTTTCTCTGTGCCCTTTCTCCACAACTTTCCCTCCATCACTGCGGTTATACAATCAGAAATTAAATTGCCTGGGTCTTGGTTAGATAAGTGTGGCTATGAAGCCAGCCGAGCAGTAATTAAATGGTAAATTGGGGACATTAACGTTGGGAAGGCAGCCTGCTGTCTCTCTCTCCATTATCACAGTCCAGACACACCTTCAAACAACTACATTTACTATGACCTTTAGCCGGAGAACCTCATGCTGTGTGGTTACATATGTGTTTGCCCATGGATTTTCAATTTCCTTTAAGGCATCCTTTCAGCATATGTGCCATATGTGTCGATATGGTATTTTCACGCATACCCATCAACAAAGTAAAGAGGTAGTATTTGTCATAGTTTAACAGTACTGGCTGTTTATAGATTTTATTTTGATAAGATTTTATATTTAAACAACTCGTGTTTTCTGCCTGTTCTTTCCTTTTAATATGGACTCATAGACTCAGTCTATGAGTCTAAATCCATTATATCAAATTGCAGTAGTTAATTGGACACCAACATCTCTCTGTTCCATGTAAAGTGGATTCATTAACTGTTAACACAAAAGTGGCCATTTTCTCAGGCTAAAACGCTGTAATTGCCTCTAACAGCCTGTTTTACTGGTCTTACTCTCCACTGTAAATAAATGGGGGAAAAAGGTCTTTTTTTAAGTTAGTTATTAGAAAAAAGTATAATTTTCCTCTCTAGGCAAGTACTAATACATTATGGTATCAGATAATTTGTCAGTGCTGTTAATTATAAGCCCCTGACTGTAGCTATCTACTTCGTTGTATTTATCATCTCTTTATGTGCAAAAAGGTTTCATTTTGAATTTTGTTAGCTTTACAAAGCTGTGTAGCTGACATAAAGTATATAAAACTAGAGTAGAGCTGAGGTTAATAAGCGCATACTGTGGTATTTATTGCATTACCTCTAATGAAACAGCTGTTGAGTGAATGTGTGATGTGATGATGATGCAGTGCAGCATTGTCTCATCTGTGTTTTCTTATTATAGGTTGTCTGTTGAACCCTGTTCATTGTATGCTGTTGCGCCCTGTGTCCTGATGAATGGCTGGTAGTTTAAAGGTGGTCCAGTTTATCATGTTGTGCAGGCCTGGCCTGTCCTTTCATCTCTGAGCCTATCACCTCTCTAATAGGAGGCCATCCATCACATCTACAAGCAAACAATCAGACCCAAACAATAACAAATGCACACACACACACACACACACACACACACACACACACACACACACACACACACACACACACACACACACACACGTCTAAAAGGTTGAACTGTACATTAAAATACATCACCATGGCAGGTAAAGAGAACCTACAACAGCAATTCATTACGTTCCTTAAATTCACATTTCTTCAAGCTTCCTGCACCTGTAGTCAGTGATTGTTTTCAGTAAAGATTATGGAGATTGAGTGACTGCAACTAAAGATAAAGTTACACTGTGCTTATACTTTTGTGGTGCTGATGACAGCATCCATCAGAATATCTCAATTCACCAAAGTAAATCTAACAATGTAACCATGAAGGGATCTAATGTTACTAACTAAAACCACAAAGTTAACTATTAAACAATAGTTACATGATGCCCAGGAAGTACGTGCAGTGGTGTAGAGAATATGTTATCATCATGAAACATGCATGCTTTGTTCTGGCTCTTTGTATACAAGGTAGGTGAGAGGACATCAGTATCTGATGGAACAAGGAAACCTAAAAGAACAAACACTCACAGAAGACAGTATATAAGTACAAATTACCTGTAAGTGGTGAAAAAAAAAGACGCTTGAGCTCTGAGGACAGCCTGAGATATTCATTTGGTATTCTTTGATGTTCAGATGTTCTTTTTACTTAGTCATCTGACTTTGTTTGTTTGTTTGTTTTAATGAAAATGCCTCCAGGTTAATGAGCCATTGTTTTCACTTTCTAGAAGCAGCACACCAATAAAATGCTGTCCCATATTTGTAATGAAGTGGAACATTTTGTTTGCTAATTTAAAAAAAAGGGCAGTTTTTTTAAGTTTAAATCCACATTTCCATAGGTTGAATGATCCTGCTGGAGAACCTATAAATCATAGTTAGAACATGGACAGATTTATAAATCAGTGGGCAGGCTTTGTTACCGTCAGAATATCAACACCTGTCTGATTTTTGCTAGTTTTATTCACATTACTGCCTGAATGCTTTCTTGCTTACTAATTCACAAAGACCCATAAACAAAATGTGCGTGCATATATGTAGACACTCCGCCCACTCAGTAACTGATTGAGGTTTAAAGAAGATCAATCAAGAAGTAGACAGAATGTCATTGTTAATATAAACATCCATCTCCCTCCCTCCCTCCATCTTTCTTCTTCTGTCTCTTGCCTTCCCCCCAAGCTTTTCAGTGTGGATTTATCCACATTACTCCTTTTTATTTTCCATTTTCCTCTCATTCGTTTGTTCCTCCACCTCCTCCACCTCACACCTCTTCTCTAATCTTCCCTCTTTTTCCTCCACTTTGCAAAATGTAATCTTTTCTAACCTTATCTTGCTTTAAACTCTCATCACCTTTTTCCATGTCCTTCCCTCTTGTCTCTCACCTGCTTTTACTTCATCTGCTCACATCGCTTCTTCTCTTTTTCTTCTCGCAATTCCACTGGTACTAGACGGAAGTCATTGTACCAGAACTCCACCCTTAATGAAGATGAAATAGCCACTTTTATCTGCGTGTGTGTGTGTGTGTGCAAACAGCATGCCTGAACAGCACATCTAAAAAATTAAATTAATTCCTTGCCCTGATTTTTCTGCTGCTACCTAAAGTGTATATTCTCTTTTTCTTCTCCTTTTCAGGTTGATCAAATGTAGTAGGATCCTACCAATGGTCTTTCAGCTCATTATGGTAAGAAAGCAGTCATGTTTCATCATTTAGTCTTCAAGGCAGTATCTAAATTACTTTACCAGTCAAACTGGTCAGTAAATTCAGTGCAGTTTTAAAATAAGCTCATCAAAGTTTGTATTATTGTAGCATTTCTATTCTGTTTATATTCAGTCTATTATGTCTGTTTCCTTCTTTTTGGTCTCTCCTTCCATCTAACCCTCAAATGTTTATGTAAATTAGTCTGAATAATGTTGACCTATTAGAGGGCTGGTGTAATTGACTGGCAGGTCAGCAGCAGAGAGGAGGAACGGCTAATAGAGTGGAAAGATGAACTCTGCTATTAAGATCATGTACAAGGGCTTGCACGCAAACACATGGCACTCGTCTGTTCTCAGTGAGCCATAACAGTGTTTCCAGTAAACCATTTCACCTGACCCTTTTTGCATGCGAACAATTTAATGCACCCACCAACACAGTACAACCAAACCAGCTCTAATTTATGCTTCACACAAACACATGCACTCACACAAACGCGCACACTCAATAACTCTGTTCTGCATGGCTGCCTGTCCAGCCCCAGCTAGCTGATACAGAATTTTAAACACTGCTGTCCAACAGCCTGATTAACTCGTCTCCTGATTGTTTACTCCTGCCTGAACCAGTCATGTCTGGATCCATTAGTGCCGTCTATATTGCTCACATTTGAATTGATTTATACTCCCTGAAACTCTCTGATGTAGATTGATTACACCTGTCGCTGGTGATCACACTTGTCATGGAGAAACTCACCTAATTGTATTTGTCTAAATGATGTAGTAGTTCTGCTTCAGACATGAAAGGACCTCAGGATGCTGGTTAGACCACGGCTCTGAACGGGGTGTTAGCCGTGCCTGAGGTGGCAAAAGACTGATCAGAGGGGAATGCTTGCAGTAAATGCTTTAACAAATCCTGCCTGGCTGAAAGTGTTCACAGTGCAGCTACACCGCTTATGCAAGTCAGATACTTATCCCTTCATGTGCAAGGTCCAAGTTAAACTTTGGTTTGCCGTTCCTCACTGTCCATTGTCAGCTTTATGCTTTTAGTGAGAACGTACAGTACAGTGCAGTATTTTTATAGCTTTTTAGTCTTTAAAGATCAAAATAGTTTAGCTTTGTCATTTGTGGCTCCTGACAGGCAGTTTGTCCTCAGCACAAACTGATGTCATTGTCTCCAGCCGCAGGCAATTGCACATGATGAGTACTAGCCAGGCTAATCACCACGTACACAGATCACACCGATGTGCACCAACCCTGCAGGCAGAGCTGGTGTATCTCAGAGAGGATCAAATAGTGAAGTGGGGGCAGAAGGGGGAAGGAGAAGTGAATTACTGTAGGAGGGAGGAGAGAATATTTTGAAAAGAGGAGAAAGATGAAGTAAGAGGAGTAAATAGGATGGGTAAGAGGGAGGTGAAGATTACACTTTCAGTCTTTAAAAACAAATAAATAAAGGCACCTTTTTTAATAAAACAATCCACTACTTTATTAAATAATTAACTGTGTTCTCAAGACAGTATATGCAGTATAAATAACAAAATGATGACAAAACCATGTTAGATATTAGCTGTTTTGGGTTAATTGTGAAATGTTATAAGCAAACCTGTAATTTACTTATCCTGTGTCTGTCTCCTGTTTTTCTAGGCCAATAGAAGTAACGTTATCAGTGGGATAGTCCAAAACGCAGTTGTTTTGCTCTGCAATCTTAGTGAGGGCACAATCCAGGATCAGCAACCACTGTATCAACAAGGTAGAGTGTGTCTAGATTTTCTCTCCTTTAAAAGGTACTAAATTCTTCTTATATTTTCCTGCATTGTGTTGCAACACATGTACTATTATCAAGGACACTTAGTCATCGAAAGGCATCTGTTCTGCTCACATTAGTGATTGTTATGTTACTTGTTGACATCCCTGATACCCGACCACATTGTAGTGTAATGCTTATTCAGGTCAGCAACCTTGGCTGTGTGTGCCTGAGGCGTAGGCCATGCTTTTTGTCTCTCAGCTACTGTGAATAATCTGAGATTTTCCTGTCAATTGCAAGTGATTCCAGGGGATCCTTAGGGAGAAGTCAAATTCATGTTTTTTGTTCTCTTGGTGTGAGGACATTGTTCAGAAGTCTAGTTTAGGCCTATTCTGGCCATGAAGAGTTAGTTGGGGATTAGGACTTTAATTAGGAGGAAGCAATAGTGAGGCACAAAGCTTTGGTACACTGTGGATGCCTGCCCAGAATATTTGTGTGTGTGTGTGTGTGTGTGTGTGTGTGTGTGTGTGTGTGTGTGTGTGTGTGTGTGTGTGTGTGTGTGTGTGTGTGTGTGTGTGTGTAAATGTTTCGGGACCCACAGTTCAACAGTGTGATTGCAACACCACAATAACACACATTTTCTCAAGTTTCTATTTGAGGACTGTGTTAATTTCTTTCTTTCTTTTTTATTCACTCATCATTCTGTTTCATTTTGTCCATCTTTATATACTTGCATACTAACTCCTCCTCTCCCTCTGTTTCCATTGGGTCAGCAATGCAGCAGTCTTGAAGTCAGCATCATTATCATCCAATCAGCACCTCTCTCAACAAGAATCTGTCAACCCAGCACTAATACTGGCCTGGCAATTAACGCTATCTCCACTCCTCTCCTCTTGTTCTGTTCCCTCCTCTCCTCCTCTCCTTTTTGTCTCGTGCTATCAGCCACTTTTCCAATCTACTCAGCTCACATCTTGGCCCCTCATTTCCTTTCCTTCCTCGCGTCTGTTCCCAGTTTTACCCTCTCCCATCTCCTCTATTTTGGGCTCCTGTTCTGCCTTCTCGTCTTTCTCCCTTGTTTTCCTTGTGGTCCCTCCAGATGAGTGTGGTGATGGCAAGAACGAAGGGAAAGGGAGAGAAGGAAAGAAGAGGAAAAGGGAGGAAGCGTGTATAATTGGGTTTTTAAGGTGTGACAGAGGGAGGAGGGGAAGGGTGGTGTTCTTGTTCATGTCTGTGTGTGTGTGTGTGTGTGTGTGTGTGTGTGTGTGTGTGTGTGTGTGTGTTAGGAGGCAGTGAAATAGACAGTGAAGAAGAGAAAAATAGGGAGGTGGTTTTTTTGTGCCTGTGTAACTGTATTTGTGCTTCTGCTTCTGTGTATCTGTGAGAAGAGGGTGTGTGTGCAGCAGTGAATGCAGGAAAACCTCATATTTGTGTGCGTAAGAGAGAGAGAGTTGGGGAGATGAGGTTTATAATTGGGCAGATTTGCCTCCGACTGAGATAATACCCCCTGGGGAATGAAGACAGAGGAAGCAAAGAGGGAGAGAAACAGAGATAGAGAGGAAGAACAGAACAACGGAGGAAAAAAAGAAGATGGCACAAAAGCATGAAAGAGAAAAGGGATGGAAAATGATGGAGGCAGAAAAGCAAAATAGGAGGTAAAAAGGGTAGCATGAAGGTGAGAGAGGGAAGCATGGGACACACAGAGAGCGAGAATGTGTTGAATCTGGGTTGGAGACAGCAAGGGATAACACGCTAGAGGAGAAAATTGGAGGTTAAGATGAGTGACAGTTTGATAGCAGAAGAGATTTTGGGATGCAAGAGGGAAGAATAACTTGATGCCTTAATGTGAGATTTCTAAACAGAGTAAATATTTTAGGTGATAATGGATGATCGGCTTTAATTTGAAAACATGCAGCAGACTAAGGAAGAAAGTTTAGTCTCTAATCTGATCATACACGGATATAAAGCCTAGGGCTTCTCTGCCGAGAATAAATTTGAGACCAATTTTGCAGGCACACTGGCATGCAGGCTGTTATTTAATAAGGAAATGGTCACATCTAGAGCATGTCAAGCTCAGAAATTCAGCCCAACAGTTCAGAAATGTTTGCACCCTGAGTGAACCTTGAGTTTGGTCCTGGGCCGAGTGTTAGTTAAAGTGTGCTTATCCTTTTAATTAATTAAAGAGCTTCTCAGGGGCTCTGTTTGTCTTCAGAGTTCTTGACAGTCACTGTGGTGCCTCTCAAGGTTAAATCCATCACACTTCATTTTTCATTATTTCTCTTGACCCTTGTAAGAAACTGAGATATTTCAGAAAACCTCTTCTGCAACGATGTTATCTAGTTTCTTTCAATTTGCATTTATAAATTCCCGTTTCAAATTGGTTTCAGCATAATTTCCCAAATGCATTCTCTAATAGTTCACACTGTGTCCATATGTGTCCAGTCAAAAATAATGCCCCCCAAGCATAATTTATACCATAAAAATCTGTCTTTGTTAATTAAGGGTGCAGTATTTCATTGTTTCATTGTCTTTGCATAAAGTTACATGTCTTCAGAGTCTCTACAGACCCAGAAAAATAGAAAAGATTACCATGCATGTCTCTACAGATCAGAAAGAATGAAAAACAACCGTTTGGGTAGGTAGCCACCTTAAATAATAATAATAAAACAATAAAATCAGATAATCTGGCTGGGTGGAAAAAATGGCTTGAGAAGCATGGGTTTTTCTGTTTATGCTATAAATTTAGACAACAGACTTGGTAGCTAACTGGCATAAATAACACATCATTAACTATATGTTGGTTCCCTAAAGTCAGTTTACATTAACATTAGGGGTACTCAGGCAGAAAAGGCATATCGGGCAGGTTATATTTGAAACTTTGACATGGAAGATTTGGAAGCATAAACATTGTGTGGTCCAAAGGTCTGTTATCATAGGAAATATCACATAGAGTTATGGTACACAGAATTAAAGTCAGCTAAAATAATATTTATTAATTATATGTACATCTTTCTTTCTTTTTTTCTTCTTTTTTTTTGAGTAATATTCACCTGGACTTAAACTAAAAAAGTTACATTTACACATTTTTGACATTTTTAATTTTAATTGTTAGAATTCAGAGCAAGTTCCTGGCCCCACTTCTCTACATGCCCATCTCGATGTACTGTATAAGGCGCACTAAGTGAAAACAAAAACAGTGAAACAAAACAGTCAGATAAGTCAAATTTTACTCAACTCATTCTTCTTGCTTCCTCCACTTCCGTACCAGTGATTCATTAACGTTGAATTTTCTCGCAGCTGCTCTATTCTCTTGTTGTTGCAGTATATTAATGACTAACCTCGTATTGTGGATGGATTATCTTAGTTGTTCTCCTGACTGAAGTTTACAGAATCCTGCCATGCGATTGCATTTGTCCCCAACCATCGGGAACCTTCACATTAACTTTTATCAAGTGGAAGAAATTAGCATTCATCCTGCAGCTTCACTGTGTTTGTTATGCTAACATAGCTGTGTCGCTAGCAATCAGGTAGCACATCATTATATACCAGCTAGTCCAACTTCAGTAACCCTACAAAAGTCACATAGTATATCATATTTCGGTGGAAACTAGCGAGCTAACTTCCTGCTAACTTCTAACTCCATTAAATGTATTACATTCTGTTTTCATGGATGCCTGGATATTAAACTTAATTGTTACACCTCATAAAGCAGCAACACTGATCATTTTATTAAAGATGAAAGAATTTAGACAGTTTTTAACTCTCAGTGATGCTGCAGTTTTTTGGACCTGAAGTGGGCGGAGTTTTGGACCTAGATTACTCCACAAGGCTCCTGACTACGGTAGCCATAATGCTCCGACAATCCATCAACCGGTCCGGCTTCGTAGCTTACCAAAGACGTACTAAAACATTTTTTGACAGATTTCTGAGTGCCATGTACCACATAAAATCGGTTTGAGGCCAGTAAGGACAACCAGAATTCATACATAACACACACCGGATTATAAGGCGCACTGTCAATTTTTGTGAAAATTAAAGGATTTTAAGTGCGCCTTTTAGTGCCGAAAATACGATAGATGTTTGTGTGGTATACTATACTATTATACACCACATTCTATAAGCAGAAAAACATTGTCTTATAGTTAGGTCCATATATATATATTTGGACACGTTTTGTTTTTCTACCTGTTTACAGAAACATATTTATAGTTATATAATGACCTTAACAGAAGTTATATAAGTGGACATAATGTGTAGACCAGGGCTGCCCAATCCCAGTCCTCGAGAGCTACTATCCTGCAGCTTTTAGATGCATCCCTACTCCAACACAGCTGAATCAAATGTTTGATTACCTCTTCAGCATGCCATCGTGTTTGGCAAAGGCCTGATAACAAGCCATTCATTTGATTCGGGTGTGTGGGAACAAGGATGCATCTAAAAGCTGCAGGACGGTAGCTCTCGAGGGCCGGGATTGGGCACCCCTGGTGTAGACTCTGAGCTTTCATTTGAGGCTGTCTTCATTTAAATTTGAGGAAGGGTTTAGAAGTTTCAGCCGCCCATTTTTTTAAAAGGACCACAAGTAATTGGCCATGAAATGGCTTTGACTCAAAGGCAATTTCATGGGCAGGTGTGGGCAATTCCTTCATTATGTCATTACCAATTAAGCAGATAAAAGAAGTTGATTTGAGGTGTGGTGCTTGCATTTTAGAAGATTTTGCTGTGAACAGACAATATGTGGTTGAAACAAGGATCACTTGTTTCACCTGCATGGAAAGCAGGTGAAACAAGTGATCCTTACGCTGCAGAAACAGAAGAAAACCACCATTATCCGTGGTGAAGAGAGCCCTTCACAACAGCCAACCAGGTGAACAACACTTTCCAGGAGGCAGGCATATCAATATCCAGGTCTATAATAAAGAGAAGACTGCATGAAAGTAAATACAGAGGGTTCATTGCAAGATGCAAGCCACTCATAAGCCTAAAGAATAGAAAGGGTATACTGCAATTTGCAAAAAAAAAAAATCAAAAAAAGGCAGCACAGGTCTGGAAAAACATCCTTTGGACCGATGAAACCAAGAACAACCTCTTCCAGAATGAAAAGGAGGAAACCCAGCAGCTGGTGATGTCCATGAGTTCAAGACTTCAGGCTGTCATTGGGTTTTCAAACAAGTATTAGAAATGATTGATTTTACTAATGGTTTTACTAGTGAAAGATTTTATTTTCAGTTCTTTGTCCAATTACTTTTGAGCCCCTAAAAAGAATGGATTGTGTTAAAGTTGCCTCTGCACGAAGACTGTAGGTGCTACCATTACTTTTTTTTCTCAGTTTAATTTTAATGTGAATTTTGACACAAGAACATAACTTTATAACAAAGAACAGATTAAATATGCAAACTATTGCATCCCATATGTTTTTCTTAACACCTTCTCTTGACCTTGACGTAAAATGTCATAAGGCCCCCAGGAAAGAAGAGGAATCTATGAAACCATAACCATTTGTAAACACTTAGGCTTTATAAATATGCATCAATGGCAGATGCGGCTCATTAGACTTGTACAATGTGGAGAAAATTTTGGACCATTCCTCCTACAAAACTGTTTTAGTTTATCCATATTTCTAGGATGTTTTCAATGAACAGCTCTTTCCTCATCATGCCATAACATCTCACTTTTTAAGGTCAGCACTCTGACTTGGCCATCCCAAAACATGAATTTTCATTCTCTTTCATCCATTCTGTTGTTTATTTACTAGTGTGATTTGGGTCAGTGTCTTCTTGTATCACCCAGGCTCTCCTAAACTTCAGGTCATGAACTGTTGCCCTGAATTGTGCTTTTAAAAGTTCAAGATACAATTTTGAATTAATCAGTCCCTCCATCAGGCCCCGAGGCCAAACATAGCTATGTTGATTTTTGCCAGAAAGTTCCAATTTTGTCTCATCTGTCCATGAAATATTTGTCCCACAAGCAAACCGGAAATGTGCTGCTTTATTTATTTATTGTTGGACAGCTTTTGTGACCTTCCATTAACACCATTCCTAGTCAGTGTTTTTCATTGACACACAACACAAAGATTTAGCAAGGTGTAAAGCTTTCTGCGGGTGTTTTACTGTCAGTCAGTAGTTGCGGTATTGGTGTGATATTTACAGATTGTCCATTTACTCAGTTTGTAGACAGCTTGTTTCAGTGCCAGCTGATGCATACCTTTGCATATGCTTTTGTAACTTTTCCACCTTTGTCCACCCTTAAAAAGCTTCTGTTAAAGTCATTTTAGTGTAATTAAGGAATAATTTCTGTCTTTTTTAAAAAGAGCACACTTGGTGAGTAGTAATAATCAGCAAGTATCAGCAGCATAATACACAAAAACTATCTAAGTGGGACTGTGTTGTCAAGTTGCATTTACAGGACAAGTCTTTTTTGATTGAACAGTCAAAAGTAGAGCAGCTTGTCTAATTAATTATGAGATTGTTTGACAGTGTAACAGTACATCTCGCTGACAGCAGGCAAACTTAATGGCTTTCTAGTGTCTGCAGTGTTGCACTTTCACTCTCAAAAATAAACACACGACATCCACAGTCTAAATAAAGATCTGTTGGAAGACGAAAACAAAACTGGGTGTATTTTCCCTAGTGAAGACTATGATTTAATACACATGGTTATATAACTAAGTTTTTGTGCACAGAAGTAGAAATGAAGGACAAATCTGGGCGTATTGATTGTCTAGGTATTGTTATATTTATGGGCACTGCATGTGTCATGTCTTCACTGTGACTATCCTCTGTGTCACTTTAAATTTAATAGTGATATAACATGAGTTTGCACTTTAGTAGGTGCTATTCATAGCTTTGCAAGAGGTAACAACCTCATGTTGTACATTGGACAGTTATGTAGGGAGAGACTGAGTGAGGTGAGAGAACAGACAAAAACAATAAGAATGAGTTTTTGGATGAGTATGTAGTGAGTTGCCTTGTTGCCTCTGCTGCCCTTATGTACTTTCTCATTAAGGGACTGTAACCCTGCACAGTTCAGTGTCGTATTCAAACAATTTCCTCTGATGTGCAGCTTGGTAATAACAAAATGTTAATTGAATTAAGCTTGCATATAGGCAATCAATCTGCTCTGTAGCTGAATCAGAGCCTGAAGTTACAGATATTTATTGGTATAGTCTAATTTGTTTCCAGCTAGAGAAACATTTTTGGTTCACATGAACTTAAAGATGTTCTTGTGAATGTAATAATGTAATTGTGGTAATGTGCGTGAATTGCCTGAATTGCTTTTTGTTTCTCTTTGTTTAATAAAATGTATCGTGAACACAGGGCCTCAAAAAGACAAATATCTAATATATAGATCATCATAACATATAGAATATATTAACTGATACAATTTGTATTAAACTGGTTAACGATTTTTGGCAGTTAAAGTGACAAAGCCGTCCTTAATTAGGTTCTCTTACATTATTATCCTTATTTTTTATGTTCACGGCTTAATAGGTTAACAATTTATATAGGCTGACAAGTTCCCAGAATGCACTGGGCATATGCAAAGCTCTGCAAAAATACAAGTTACCAAGAAAACTAAGAAATCATAGTTCAGATACAATCTTCTCCACTTTTCTTGAATACACAGGGCTTATTGAGGTGGTGGTTTGCACCCTCTCAGAAGCTGCGCTTGCTCATCTAGATAGAGAGGAGCATGCTGGAAGGAAGGTCGGCCACGTTGTGCTACAAGCTCTGTTGGAACTGCTTCACAACGTCCTTAAGCAAACATCAGTTGTTGTCCGCTCTGCCCTGCAGGTATGAACACTCAGACACACCTGATGAACACAAACTTTACAGCTGACTGATGTCCCTTTGTGATTTCATCATGGTCCTCAAAGATGCACAGAGAGCAAACAAGAACTGCCATGTCTGAAAGATCATCGCTAGTGATGTGAGCTGGTTCTCCACCTACAACCCAGCAGTTTTCAGTTAAAGAGTCACACCGGAAGAGATCCAGTGCGCACACTGCAGAGGTGCAAGTGCAAGAGGAAATAACAGGAGTTTAACTGAAATAGCAGCCAAACTAGAAACTGTGTGAGCATACCAGAGAAGGAGATCATGAAAGGGAGATCATTCAAATTTAAATCAAGTGTGTTTTTTGATATTTTTATGGGCCCATTCCCCTAAAAGAAACTTAAAGAAAACTAAATATTAAGGAATCCAGGCATAATTTCAGTATCACACACTTTCAAAACGCTCAACGGTCCGTGCAAAGACATCCTTAAAGAGCCATAAGCCTTAATTTAGAAAATAATACTAAATTATTGTTATTTGTTAGGTTTTTTTGGCTTCATCTTGTGAAATTGGTCATTTTAGGCTCATGTATGTCCTACAGTGATTCACCACTTTTTGCCAACTTCATCTTTGGTGAGTGCAGATTCACCGACAGAATCACAAAGTGTACTTCCTCAAAATGTTGCCCTTGTATCACGTCCCTGAAGGCATGTGTCTGTGTGTGTTTGAGTGTGTGTGCCCCTTGAAGTATACAGTGAAAGCTAGCAGGTTTAAGCAACTGCAATATTGAAGTTGTGGACTCAGGAGAAAGGGTATGAAGTCCTGAATCCCTGGGACGCACACACACACACACACACACACACACACACACACACACACACACACACACACACACACACACACACACACACACACAAGCATGCACAGAGGGGCCTGTCTGGCTATGTCCCTGCGGCCTCATTATCACCGCTGGCTTTGTCCTTAGCTTGCCTCACTACATACACATCCACGCGCACACACTCACACTCTCGGATTGGCACACACACATCAGCCCCCATCTCCCCATAGTGTGCACCCCAGCCCAGCACATACATATTAATGCCCGGACAGGGGGTGGGGGGACTAAAGTGAAGGCAGGGTGAAAGACTGGGTGAAAGAGAGGACAGAAAAAAGAGAAGGATGGGTGGAGAGATAGGAGAGACTGAGATGGAAAAGGCAACAAGCAGAATCTGCAGCGGAAATCAATTCTGCGAGAAATGCAAAGCTCATTAAAAAGAAAACTTCAGCCCAAACCAAATTCATTTGGGTAATAAGGTCTGATAAGGAGAAAGGACGTGACTAGACCGTTTTTCTCAAAATATTACTCAGTTGGTCAAGAGGGAGCATGTCAGAGATTATATACAGTACACTACAGAAGGAAAAAATAGGACAAGCGTAGCAGAGACTTTGGGAAAGAGACAAAATATGTGCTGTTATTAGCCCATCACTAATTGGCCTGAAGTTCCACTACAGGCAGGAAGTAAAGTAAAATAAGCCAAAGTAAGTCACAGAGGTGCTAATAATGAGGGGCAAAAGAGATGATGCCTTAAGAATGAGATGCAAAAATAACTTTGTGGCAAAAAAATGTTCAGCTTATGTTATCCTGAGAACTTAAAGAAGGTTTAGAATAACATAATATGTAGAAAAATTCCCTGCCTTCATCTATCAGGGTGTCTTTCTGTGTATGTCTCAGTTTGTCAGAATAAGTCTTGGCAGGTCCCTGGATCCATCGTTATTGACTGTCAAATCTCTATAAATGATTTAATGTGTGTGTGTGTGTGTGTGTATGTGCGCGTCTTTGCACGTGTGTATAGAGCCAGAGGCTATCTTGTCCAGCAGCAGAGACGGAGGCAGCAGAGAAGCTGCTCCGAGCCAACAGACCCCTGAGCCAACTCAGCACACACCTCATTCACATGGTGAGACCAACACTCACAGATCCTGTGCATGTCTGCGCATGTAAATGTGTTGTATGCATATATATTTTTTATGGTTGTTTCTGTTTGCATGTTTATATACATGTAAATATATGCTGGATACAGTGGCAAATATTGTGTTCTTGTACATAGTGCATTTAAAAAATGTATGTTTTTTAAATGCACTATGTTGTGCAGAGCTGATGCTCAGGTGGATAGGGCACATATCACCTGGGCTAAAGCAGCTTCCTGCTTGTATCCAGGCCAACCAGCCCTGGGTTCCAGTGTTAACACATGTCCATCTCTATTATGCTACCTGAATTAGATAAAAGTGCCAGTAACCAAAACATTAGTGACCTATACAGCTCAAAGTAGGTTATTCTTTAGTTATACACTAGGTCTCCAAATAAATCCATTAAGATCAGCAAAATAATCAGCTGCATCTGCATCTTGACTAAATATTTCTAGAGAAATATCTCACTGCACCACACTGTATGTGTTTCTTTGTTATTGTAGGAGTTAACTGGACGGACAGTTGAAAATGTGTGCATGGACCATCTAATTCCTTCAATTAGAAAAGCTGTGTGCTTCGTGAATATTGTGTGTCTATTTAAAACTGATGATTGTCTACGTTTACTGAAGTAATTGGTTTGCAGTTATTACAGTTATTAATCCCAGGCATGTGCAGTGTCTGCTGGTACTAACACAGAACCTGATGAAGTCTAAAAACAGAAAGATAAGCATTGCAACAGTGTTGGCCTTTTGTTATCTCTGCAGCCAGTCAAACATCCATACCCACTGACACTAAACACAAATAAAATTGTGATTAACGATATGGCGCCTTGCAATGAGATCGCACCAGCTGGAATGCTCATCAGCATGTTGATGTTCTTGCCCCTGAGTATTTAGTAGTCATTAGTACATTATTATATGAGTACTCGGTACTTAGGCCAAAAAGAGAGGGTACTATGAGGCAGCACACTTCTGGGAAGTCTACGCCAGAGAGATGAAAGAGGAGGAGACTGTGGGGGATTTAAAAAAAAAAGAAGTCTCCAGGGATGGAAACAGACACTACACTTGACACATCGAGTGTTGTTTGGAAAAGTAGGCTGACCGAGCAGCTGACACACCCCCAGCCTTTGCATATATCTATAGATAGATAGATAGATAGATAGATGGATGGATAGATAGATAGATGGATAGATTGGAATCAAATGTAAAATTGAGAAGTAAAGGTATGAAATTCTCCTTGGACTCTGGCCACATTGTTATTAGTCTCATTGTGTATTCTCCCATTTAGTATCTTTTGGTTGTTGTTGTACTTTCAAACTGACAATGACAGAGGATACAGACAGGATACTTTTTTTTTTAACAATGATTTATTGATTTTTTTGGAACAACACAAACAGCAACGAATCAGCACAACAAATACAAATAAGAAAAAGAGAAGAAAAAAAAAACAAATACAGGTACATGAGTTACAGATGTACATGTCTGGGTCAAAATATGTACAGTGTTTCACATTTGAAGTCAAGGGAAAGAAAAAAGGAAAAAAGTGGGGGAGAGAAAAAAAATACAGACATTAATTATTGTGTTTAAAAACAAAATGTGATCCCCCTTTATGTAATAGCACAGCAAGGTCACGAGGTTGGTGATCAAGCAAAGGCCGCCATATCCTACAGAATGCATCACAATTGCCCTTTATGATGGTACTAAGGCGCTCCATTGGCAGCACCTTGAACATGTCTCTGTACCATTGTGTAACAGTGGGGGGCTGTCTCTGAATCCATTGAAACAGTACACATTGCCTCGCTAAATGTACCTAACAAAAGCATCTGTACAGAAGACAGAGAAAGGCCTTCTATAGATAGACCCAGAACGAACAGCACAGGGTTCAGTGGGATCGTCTGGTGAAAGATTGAGCGAAGCTCTATAGCAATACTTTTCCAAAATCTAGTAATTAAAGGACATTGCCATATGCCATATCCGTATTGCACTTTACACAAAATGGAGAAATCTGAGTGATGAATTTTATTTAGAAACTCTGGCGTACGCTGCAGTCTATGTAAGATTCTGTAATGGCTTTCCTGGAGTCTGTTACAGGAAAACAATTTCTTGGCAGATCTAAAAGTTTTGGACCATGCTTCTGCACTAAGCTGAACTTCGAGGTCGGTTTCCCACCAAACCCTGGCCTTATCAGTGGTTACAAAATTCAAAGACAATAATTTCCCATAACAAAGAGCGATAAATTTCTTTTTTGTGATTATTTCCTCATTAAATTTAAGAAGAAAGCTTTCAATAGGATTCAAAACAGGTTGATTGGCTGGAAATTTAAGGGAATTTACAAAATGCCTTACTTGCAGGAACCCAAAGAAGTGTTTCTGTGGTAAATTATATTTAATTTGAATTTGATTAAAGGCCATAAAACTACCCCTTTCAAACAGATCGCAAATAAATCTTATATTTTTAGAACGCCAATCATCAAATATACTAATGCCAATACCTGGAAGGACAGCTTTATTCCTAATTAGAGGCTGTAGACAGGATACTTTTATGTTTTGTTGACTGCCAATTTTACTTGGATTCAAAAGGTACCTGGGTGCCATTACTGATTCTACAGATTTTAAGATCCAGTACACATAGTAAAAAACTTGATGCAGAACCTGAGTATCCAAAATAGAAACATGTTCTCTTATACTTTAATCTCTGCATATATTCACTGATTATCTGTCCATGCAGCTGTCTGCTGAGAACCAGGAAATCTGGGAGGAGTCTGTTCATTGTCTGTCACTGCTGGTCCAACTTTACTGTGGAGAGGGTCCTGACTGCCTGTCGCCTTCCTGCTTACGAAGCTTCTCGCATGTGCTGCGCACTCGCATGCACACTGAGACGCCCCGAACACAACGTACAGCTCTTAAAATTATTAAACGACTAGTAAGTAAACATCCACACAGACGGACAATCTGAAAAGCTTAACTGAACACACTGACATTTTCACATACACACGCTCATCAGAGCTCATGAACATTTTTTTGGATGTATATTTTGTGTTCCATTTGTGTTGAACCTTGGTTCTATATTGGTAATTTGAGCGCCCTGCAGATTTAACATATTGGAATTATAGACACATACATATATGTGTATAAATTATACAAACACAAGAGTCAGTTCAACTGTGCTGCTGTTCTGAAAAAAACGTGTACTTTCACCCAAACGAGACTGACAGAGAGAGCAAGGCAGAGAGGGAAAAAATTTTGGTTTTCTATCTGCCTCTCACTCTGTTCAAGTATCTGTCCAATTTTGTCTCACAGTCAGAATGATTTGTACTACAGACCAAAGCTAGCCTGTAGTACAGTGTACTGCAGTAAAACACATTGAAATTTAGTAAGGCTAAGGCTCCCCAGACAAAACAGAAACATTATTTTAATCTGGTAGCAGTGGGAAGGACTGAGCAGCTGCGGCTGGCATTCAGGATTTAACAAGGCGACAGTTTCTTAACCCTGACAAACAATAGCAACATTTTATGTGTCTAAAACAATTTAATATTAATAGGAACATGCTGTGAATTGAGTGAAAATGTTGGCCCACCTACTGATTCATTTGAATTTAAAACCTTGTTAAAATGTTAACTAAACTGCCAGTAAAATATTGTCTGACTAAGGCAGTTAGTTGTGCAGTAGTTAGATATTTGGTAGACATCTTACATGCTTTGCTAGCAAATGAGTTCACATTGAATGTTTTTGTGTTAAAAGATTTAAGCCCAGTGCCAGCCCTCGTGGCCAAGTAGTTTACGGTTCATGTGACATAGCCGCAACCCGGGTTTGATTACTTTCTCAGTTCAACCTCACCTATTGTCTTCACCCTGCCAGGTGGGTGGACGGTGTGGACACCCAAGTTTGTGAATGCAATAACTTGAGAACGAAGTAATGGAGCACTTTCAGATTGATACCATAAGTGCATCTACTAAAAATCTCTGACAAGTTGGAATCTCAGTGACTTTGAACTCGAGGTCAGGGGTCAGAGGTCAAGTGTTCTGAAAATCTTCTGAATGTGAAACAACGTAGGAGTTTCAAATTGACACCTTAGGTGTATCTACTAGGAGGCTGAGGGCTATCACTGACTGCCATCGTTATTTTTAAACCATGATGTCAGCGTTATTTGGACATTAATTGCGTTGTTCTAGTTGTCGAAACTTAACCATACTTAAGAATAAGTTAAGTGTGTTGATATTGGATTTTTAGTGCGCCCCAGGGCAGCTGTGGCTACAATGTAGCTTGCCATTGCCAGTGTGTGAATGTGTGTGTGAATGGGTGAATGACTGAATGTAGTGTAAAGCGCTTTGGGGTCCTATGGACTAGAAAAGCGCTATACAAATGCAGGCCATTTACCATTTAATCAATCTGGTCTCTGAATGTAACCCACTGAATTTAATTTAATTTACTGAATACATGTCTTTTTAGAGATTACTGCTAAAAAAAGAGGCAGGGTTGGTGAGTCGGTCCAGTAAAAATGCATTTTAGGAAATCAACATGAAGTTAGAAAAAATAGCTGATTGTTCAGCAGACCCCTATGAATTATGTAAAATGCATTTGTAATGTTTTGGCTTGGCCGCAGGGTCATGAGATTCTGCATGTGGGATACAAGGTCAGCTGTCACCCTGAGATCACATGATCTGACTGAAGGCTGTGCCTGGAAGCTACCGTGTGTGTGTGTGTGTGTGTGTGTGTGTGTGTGTGTGTGTGTGTGTGTGTGTGAGAGAGAGGCAGTGTTTGCGTGTACTCGTATATTTTTGATTCCTCTTACTAATTATTTCTAGCCACCTGAACCACCCACACACACAAACTGTCACACACGAGCTCTTAGACGTATCTCTTCCTCTTTCTGTCTGTCTGTCACACCACATTTGTCCTCATGTGAAAACTCCCTTATTACTCCCCGTGCTAGTCAACAAAGTAACATCTGTGTGTGTCTTCTCTGTCCTGATCACCACCCTGGGCAACAAACACACATCACAGCAGTTACTTTCAACTATGTAGCAAATGAGAATATGTAGCTAGTGGATGAGTCACCAAGCAGCATCCCGCACGGAGTGAGCAGCAGAACTCATTTATTTGCTTAGAAAAAGCCTCTGCATGCATTTGGTCATTTCACTCATTACAACAGTTAATTTAAAAGATTTCATTTTTAAAGGTTTGGCTCTCTCTCTCTGAGTGCTTGTTCTAGTTCTCCCTCTCTCTTGCTCGCTATCTCTCGCTCGCTCTCGCTCTCTCATTCTCTCTTTATAGAGTGCTTAACAAAATTATTAGACCACCTGTCACAAAAGAAGAAATCTGTGAAAAACTTGATTAAAAATTACTGAGTTAACTGAACTGGATCTGCATTTTTATACCTAATATCGAGCCGGTACATTGGACTTCTCTGAACAGTCAGAAATTAAAGCATGACATTAAACAACTAAAACTAATTTTTCTGTTCAGGTATCCAAGTAAATAATTGTTGTTTGGCATTTTAATCAAAATATAATAATATGATTAATTATTGTTTTTCTAATTTGTAAAACTGTAAATTAAAAACAATTCATATTTATAATATACATATAATTATATTTTAAAATTAGAAATATCATTTTGATTAAAGAGTGTAGACATACTGGTGGATTAACCATTAGAAAAACATAAAACATGATACTGGTAATTATCCTTACTGTTCATTTAGAGCAGCTGTAGCATAAACCTTACATTGGGACGTGGTCTAATTAATCTGTTAAGCACTGTATGTATCATAGACAGTTAGTTCAAATGTATCAAAACATATCCATCACCCACAACATGCTTTTATACAGAAGACTCATATTCTCTTTCAAACACACATTTACACCCTCAGACAAGTGTCTGCCCTTCAGAAAAAAGCTTTTTAATTATTTTTCATTGATTTCAGGGCTCTGATAATCTCTATCAAAGATCCTGCTAATAGCTTGGAAACTACAAGGGAGAGGAAATGAAGAATGTATCATGTTGGATTTACTACAATTTTCAACTTGTCTTTCATATTTGAGTAACAACTTGCAAAGACCTACAGAAAAACAAAATGCTAATTAGATTTAAAACAATACGTTTTTGAAAATAATAGGCATTTATTATCTTTTTTTAAATAATATAATTTCTCAGAGTTATTGGTCTTCCTCTGGCCTCTCAGTTTATCATGTTCAGTCCCTGATATGAAAAATATCTTTAACAAACTCAGTTCACACAAAACCTCTTTTAATCAACTTAACTGTAATTTAACTTTTTCAGCAGCTATAACGTTCACTGATCTGATATTTGGATATTTGCATATGGATATGTAAGCCGTGGTTGACATTGTCCTGTTTTTTCACTTGTGTCCTGAAGCTTTGTCCTCTCTCACCTCCAGAGGCTGAAATGTCCCAGCACACAGTCTCAAAAATGTCAAAGCACATTATGTCCAATTATTGTAACCTTTTACGGTGCTCAAGCCAAAAACATGAACCTTTATTTATCTTTTAGTCCCTGTTTGTTTCCAGCTTAGTTCGACACCCATTAGAATTTCCTTGGAAGCTGATGATTTCATCATGACCTATTTTCAGTGGGAAAACTTTGTGGGATTTCCTTTACCTTTAGGATTGATTTCATCAAGATAATTTCCCCTGTCATCAGTGCCAGAGAATTACTAAGCAGATGGGAAAAGTTTTGTGAGTTATGTTTCAAGCCTTGCTTTTGACTCCAAGATAATTCTCGAGATTTTTTTAGGTTAGAAGCTCTGCATTTTTAGACCTGAGTATTTAAAATAACTGTAAAACAAAAAAATCATTCCTCACTAGACTCTTACTCAAACGCACACACATACAGATCACAGCAGTGTCTATATCTGTGCACGTCTCTCTTTCTTCCTCTGTCTGATCTCAGGTACGTTTTTCCTTGTTTGAACTGACTGTTGAGACAGCCCTGCTGTCTTTCTGAAAGGCCACACGTCTGCCTGTCCTCTGCTGTCTGCCTTGAACGCCTCTCAAATCACTTTAAGATCAGTATTATTGAGTTAGGGTTGGTTGGCTAGAGATGGAGACACATGGAGGATAAGGAGGTGGGGGCATCTGGAAAGCAAGGATGAAGGTTTGGTAAGTAGGTATGTTTACGTGTGGTTTCCATGCACACATAAATAGCCCCTAATCATGATGGGAAATTCAAAACTATGTGTTTGTGAAAACATGAAGTGCAATTCACAGTTTCACTTACAGCTTTTCACTTCAAGCTTCCTCCAGATAAAAAATTCAGTCAATCCCCCCACCTGCTAATGCCTCTCAGAAGAAGGAATTTGCTGGGATCCTTTTTGTTAATATTCAGAAAGACAACTTCCTGTTGAAGAAGTAACTTTACCATGAGAAGTTGAATTTTTTTCTTCTGTTTTTCAAAAGAGAAAAAGAGAAGAAACATAGAAACAGTTGACATTAGAGGGAGTTCCCTCCTGTCTCCATATTCCTGTCAGACTGTCCAGTTTCTAGCATCATGTGCCCCACCGCAGCCCCCTCTTTGTCTCCTCCTAACCCCGTTTCTTAGCAACGAGCATGCTGTGCCGCCACAGAGACACAGGTGATGATGTCACTGGAGATCAGAGAAAACGCATCCAACAAATAGACAGGCACATATGCACTCACACATTAAACATCTGAAGAGACATACGCCGAGGCATTTTTTATTCTTACAATACCGTTTTTGTAACACAAACTTTTTCAGCAGTATGAAATCAGACCTTAACCTAGCTTTGTGTTAAAACGGCGAGAACTATTCTGTGTGATCAGTGAACACACCCTCACACAAGCCTGGGGTCCAGGTGTTCCTGGGAGGGTGAGGAGCCTAGACATGGTGTGAAGAGACATGTCAGGACAGGAGTAAAAACAGAGGAAAGACAAAGAGCAGAGA